ATGATTTTGTCATTTTTTAATGCAGAGTAATACTCCATTGTGTATAAATGCCACATTTTTTTTTATCCATTCGTCTATTGAAGGGCATCTAGGTTGGTTCCACAGTCTTGCTATTGTGAACTGTGCTGCTATGAACATCGATGTAGCAGTGTCCCTGTAGCATGCTCTTTTTACGTCTTTAGGGAATAGACCAAGAAGGGGAATAGCTGGGTCAAATGGTGGCTCCATTCCCAGCTTTCCAAGAAATCTCCATACTGCTTTCCAAATTGGCTGCACCAATCTGCAGTCGGTGGGCATGGTTTTTAGACATGCTTTAATTTTTCTGAAGGAATGTATTCTGTTCCATATTCTCTTTTTAAAAAAATATTGTTGGGGGGGGCTGGGGTAGTGGAGTAGTGGTAGAGCACTCGCCTAGCATGTGTGAGGTCCTGAGTTTGATCCTCAGCACCACATAAAAATAAATAAAGGCATAAGAAAAAAAATATTTTTTTAGTTGTTCCTAGACCTTTCTTTTTTTTTTTTTTAATTTATGTATATGTATTGCTGAGAATCGAACAAGTGACTCACACAAGCTGGGCAAGTGCGCTATCACTGAGCCCAGCCCATATTCTCTTTTTTATAGAGATTTTATATATCTTTACTATTGCTTATCTCATGTGAAGCTAGTTTTACTGAACTTGGATGAACGGCTGAGCTGAACACACTCTCTAGCCTCACCCTGCAGTGGTTTAACAGCTTTGAGCCTGCTCAGGTCTCTGGGCTCTGCTCAGGTCTGTTGGCCCCGCTCAGCTCCTGTGCTTGCTGGGTGTGCTCCTTTGCCTTCTCTTCTATTGGCCCTGTCCTGCTGAACTTTAATTCCTCTTCTGATGAACTCTCAGCTGCTGGACTTTGCTTTAGATGGAAACTTCATTTGTCAGGTGAAGAATTTCCAAGGCCCAGGACAATTGGCCCTTTTCTTATGCCCCTCTGTCCTCCCTCCCTGGGTCCCGCTGACTTCCCTCTCCAGGCTCAGGCTGCTGTTTTTTGGATTTCCAGAATATGGGCTGGCAGGCGGGATTCTTCTGTGTTCAGGTCCATCTGATTATTTGTTTCCCCTAATTCTTCCTTTCTAAATGCTGACAGCACCCACTTAGATTTGAGATTTCTTGGGTATATGTTGTCCTGACTGTGAGGAACATACTGTCTATGGGTTTTTTTTTTTATATTTATATTTTAGTTTTCGGTGGACACAACATCTTTGTTTGTATGTGGTGCTGAGGATCGAACCCGGGCCGCATGCATGCCAGGCAAGCGCGCTACCGCTTGAGCCACATCCCCAGCCCTGTCTATGGGTTTTTGGTTGCACTATCCTGGTGGAGGTTTAAGGGAGAATTTAGGTAGATTAAACACTACACAGTCTGTGTGATAATTTCACACATGTATATAACGTGCATTAGTCAAACCAGTCTAATGAGCATTTCCACCTTCGTAAATATTTTCAGTTATTTGTGTTGGGAACCTTTAAATTCTTCTCTTCTAGTTTTTCATATCCCATTATCCAATCTCCCTTTCTGCCCACTCTTCCCTATGCTTCCCAGCCTCTGGTAACCACTATTATTCTATTTTTATGAGATCAATTTTTTTAGCTTCCATATATGAGTGACAAGACAAGATATTGATCTTTCTATGCCAGATTTATTTTCCTTAATGTCCATCAGTTCCATCCATGTTGCTGCAAACAAAGGATTTCATCCTTAAATTACTGGAATATTCTTACCCAGCCATCCCATTGCCCATCTTAGCACAGGTTTCATATGACAACCAAAATGATTTTTCTGGTCATCTCATCCCTTTTTATCAAAAATCATCATTGCCTTCCCAATATTCTTAGACTAAAGCTCCACCTTTGTGACTTTGTGCAGGGATCCCTGTATGCTACGGTACTTTTAAAGATGCCCAGTCTTGCCCCTCCCATCTAACACCAACTCCAGCCTCCTGGAAGGTCTTTCCATTCCTCCCGCCCTTGGTACAGGCCGTTCTCTCTTCAGTGTAACACATCAAACCTACCACAGGCTCCCAGTTAACTAATCCTGAACTATTCCCACACTTAACTCTTGCTGCAGCCTTAACTTAAATGTTATATTGTCTTCTCTTATTCGACTTACCTCCTCAGTCTCTAGCGGATGTTCCCATGTGATCCCGTGACTCAGTTTCCCCTGCCAACTTAGAATTGATTGCATTGCTTGCTGGAAGGGCACATGTGCACAGGCAATCTCTAGGATGTGGCAGGTAATTACTGAAAATGACTCTGAGTCTCATCATTACTGAGAGTGATTTGGGTGACTAGTAAGGCAGTCAGTGCTTCTTGACAATAAACAAACCCTACTTTATGTAAATGACAATTGGTAGACCAGGATTCTGTCATCCTACTGGATGTTACTTACATCTGATAATGTATGAGCTAGTTCTCATTGACACCAAGCCAAGAATTCGGTTTTCACAGTAGAAATCCCAGGCAAGGTGCACAATAAGGCAGATCTGAGCCCTGCCGTGCATTTTTTCTATGCTATCCAAATCAATGCTCACAACACAATGGCTTGTGTTCAACTGGCCCCGGCCTCAAAGCAATTTGCTGGTTCTTCCTACATAAATTTCGAAAAGGGTTTGCTTGCCTAGAGCTGAGAGAGTCGGAGCAGGGGCAGGGGAATAGGATGCAAGAGACTGAGACACCTGGAGCAGAACTTGAACCCACACTCCATCCACAGCCCTCCTTGACAGGACAGGAGCGTGGGATCTCTGGCGGGCTCCGCCTCCACACCCCGGTCTTGTCCCCACGACCGTACCGTCTCACACCTCAATCCATGCTCCCGCCCCGCCCCGCCAGCACGCAGGTCCCCGCCCCCCTCCGTCGCCCCGCCCCCACGGCGCGGCCCGCCCCTGCGCTCCTGTCGCCCCGCCCCGTCCGCTCGGGTCGGCCGGAGCCCGCCTCCCCCCTCGTCTTAGCTGCCGGGTTCCTCGCGCTGGCCCGGCCCCGGCCCCGGCCCCGGTCCCGGGCTCGAGCCTCGCCTCCCCACGTCCCGGCCCGAGCCCCGCTTGCCCGCCGCAGGCCCGCCCGCCTGGGGCGGAGCTGCGGCAGGTGCCGGCGCGGGGCGTGGCGGGCGTCCGGGGCGCCAGGTGCGCCCCCGCGCCAAGATGGCCGACCGCCGCCCGCCCGCTGCGGCCCCGCTGCTGCGCGCAGCCCTTTGCCTGCTGTGCTGCGCCCCGGCTGCCGTGCGCGCCGTCCCGGAGCTCGGGCTCTGGACCCAGGCGGTCGACGACGTAAGTGGGCGGTGGGGGCCGCGTCCGGGTCCCGGCCCTCGCGGGGCGCGCTCGCCACGGGCCGGGGCTGCTCCCCTGGCCCCGCCGAGCCCCAGGCGCCCGGGGCCTCTGTCCGCGGCAGCGGCGGCCAGGGGCGCCCGACCCGCGCCCAGGAAGAGCAGGCTGGCCCTGCCGGGCGGTTGTCCCTGCCCAGCGCCCCCAGGCCTGGGGCCACGTCCTGGTTACTCGAACCGGAGCCCGAGTCTCGGCGACCCGGTGCACCTGGGCCACCGACCCGCCGGGCGGGCGCAGTGTCTGCGGCCTGCTGTTCAGACTGAGCCGAGCGCGCTGGCCGCCGCCTTTCCTTCTCAGATCAGAGAGGGGTCGCGCAGGTCACCCCTCCTCCCCGGCCTTTCCCTGGCTGTCGGGTCAGTTCCGGGACCTTGTGGCGCGGGGCGGGGCCGTGGTTCTGGAGCCTTGGAGGGGCCGGCTGCAGGAATGGGTGGGTGGACACGTCCCTGTTGCAGAACTGGCGTCCTGTGGTTAGGGGAGATGCTGTGGGAGGAAAGCAGGGGTAGAATTATGGAAAATCTTGCAAAAGAGAGACAGAAAGTCGGGAAGAAGCATTATTTCCTTTTCTGGAATCAGATGACTCATCCAGCTCTGTTTGTGATGAGTATTTTCCACATGCATCGAAATGATGTCCAACTAAAGATGAAATTTACATTTTAATTTCCTCAAACCGCCCCCCACCCCCGCCATGAACAAAAGCTACACAGAGGAACAAATGTGGGCATTTTTCTGTCTTTCAGACCCAATGCAACTATTTCTTCCAGGGTTTTTCTAAGTTTGTGCTCTGTGTTGTGCACCTGTATGTATCTGCTTTTTTGAATTTCTCTGGACAGTAAGAAACAAAATTTAGTACACCACACTTATGGTTTCCTGCTGTTCCTATAGTGGAAGCAATTAAGAAAGTCATCATAAACTGAAGCAAATTTACTGTGCACACTGTTAATCTGCTTGAGCATATCTCCAAAGCTATTTGCCTGTGTGTTGGATGGTGACAATCCAAAGGCCACAGGGGAAGAGTGACTTTGATCCATGAAGAGAAGTTTTGTTTCTTGGATGCCACATAATTCAATTAGGCTAACATTATTCTTATGTAACTGGCAAGTAGTGGTGGGTCCATAGGGCCATCTTTGCAAAAAGTGGGCTGATTTTTTCCCCCATTTTAGGTGGTCAAAATTCTCCCCTCAGAAAAGGAAAAAGGAGTGGGGCTTTCTTTGATTTGTACTGCAAATCCATCAAGAAATGTTCTTTTGATTAAGTTTAGCAAACAGCTAGTGTGCCTTGCACTAGACTGGTCATTGTTGTTACAAAGATGAATTTTACACACTGCCCCATATCTTAAGAAGCTCATGCAATATTAGGGACAACTGATTCATGAGTGGATAATTATGTATGTGGCAGCATGCCCAGGATAGGAACGTCAAGTTTGGGTATGTTGAAATTACAACAGGAAGCCATAACAGTTTGGGAAGGAGATAGTTTATCAAAAGTACATTCACTTTGATGCAGGCTGGGGTTATGGCTCAGTGATAGAGTGCTTGCCTCGCATATGTGAGGTACTGGGTTCAATTCTCAGTACCGCATATAAATACATGATTAAAATAAAGGCCCATCAGCAACTTTCACTTTGAAACCAAGCCAGCAGCATGCAGTTGCATAGACCCTGCATGTCACATCCCAGTCGTACTAATTGCGCAGTGCCCCAGCTCTGCCCCCACCCCAGCAGGGGCACTTCTGATTCTCACTGAGGGCAAGTGCAGAATAGGCTTGCTGGACAGGATTTTAAGCAAGTGAGTGATGTGATCAGACTTAAATTTTAAAAGATTCTCTCTGGTCAGACAAAGGAGTTCAAGGATCAGAGATCTCTACTTTGTAGGGTAAAACTATTCAAACAGTAGAGGAAAAAAATTTAACCAGATCTTTTTATGTTTGTTTTTCATTTTAGAAATCAGGACCCTTGATATTTAGGAAAACTATGTTTAACTCTACTGAGATCAGGTTTTCTGGTAAGCATAACTAAATAATATACTAATATAAACATCTATATTATAAGTTAATCCATTAATTTAATGTAAACTAATGTAACAGCATATATAGAAAGCTAAGCAAATATTTTGTTTTTAAGTGATCCTGACATTTTAGAGTTTGGTTTCAGTCAAGACTTTGGTTATTACTGAATGATTTTTTCTCATCCTTCAGAAAATGGAATATGAATCATTCTTTAAAAATTATAATTAAGGTCTAATAAAGTAGCCTTCAGCAAAAAAATATTTGTTTTATGTGATATTTGACTGAGTCCCAGATTTCAAAAGATAAAAATCCAGGCTCGGGTTTTGCTCAGTTGGTAGAGTGTTTGCCTTGCATACACAAGGCCCTGGGTTCCAGCACCACCACAAAAAAAAAAAAAAAAAGGTAAAAATCCTTTGAATACGTGAAATGTGATTGTGATAAGCCCTTAATAGTCCTGAAATTTTCTAAGTATGCATGGTTCAGTACAAAAAAAATAGCTGGACACTACCATTTTAACTATGAGTTCTAGGACTTATGAAAATGAAAATATTTGTTAAATGCTGTCTTCTCTGTGTAATTGCTGTTGTACCCATATTTTTGTATACTTTTAATGGATCCTATTTACTGTGGTTGAATTCTAGGAAAGTTCGTTACCAGGATAAAGCATATTCTTAGGGTAAAGCAAACTGGCTTCCCCGAGATCCAAAACTAGGCCCCTTTCCTCTATCGTGTGTTAGGGGTGAGTCTGCAACTCGTGGGTGTCTCCCCCGGAAGCTAGGCCAGCCAGCAGACAGGGAACAGAGGTGGTTTAGAGAAGTTCTGGTTTCATAGTCATCCAGGTGACCAGCATGTGAGGAGGAACTTGAAGTCTTGGGCCGGTGAGAAAAAGTTCTGCCCTCTGTTTGCTTCAGTGAATTTATGTCTCCGACTAGACAAACAGGCTTTCAACCTCTGACTGGGGCTGACAGAGACTATATGGGGGAGGAAATAATGTGGTCTACTGCAGGTGTCTTAAAACTTCTCTGCATAATGCCTAAGACAGTTTAAGAATAGACTGTAGTCAAAAAGTGATTTTAGCATATCTGAAGAAGGAATGGGGCAGGACAGAGGATGCAAGAGCAGAGTGTAACCCTGCTGGGATTTAGTCAAACTCTGAGTGACTCTGTCCAGCAGCGCTGTAAGGAGAGAGAGTGCTGGGCTACGGCTAGAGCTATAATGTGGCTGGCCTGTGTGGGGGAAGCACCCACCTGAACCTTTGTCCTGGTGCCACGCTCACCAGGCAGCCTTCCTGTCACCAGGGTGCTTCCAGGGAAGGAATTGGCCATCAATGCATGTCCAGTCTGCAGCTCCTCGTTGTTGAGAGTGAGTAAACGGCAGTCTAGTTTATCCATTGACAGGATGGGATCCAGTGTTGGTGTTCTCACAGAACAAGTTTTAGTGCCTGCAGAATTAAGTGTGGTCTCAGCTCTTAGATGTGTTCTTGCTGTTATGGGACATCAGACATCTGGCTTTCTCTTAGGTGACTCCTCTTCTGCTACCCAGTTCAGGATGCAGTCATGTGGAGCATGTGTTGAAAATATCTCAGTGCAATTCACCAGCTGTTGACCTCATTATATCTAGAAAAAGCATTTGAAAAAATTCAACACCCATTCATGATAAAAACTCAGAAAACTAGAGATAGAAGGAAACTTCTTCAACCTGATAAAGGGCATCTATGAGAAGCCTGTAGCTAGCATGGCACTGTCAGTTCTCTCCAGATTGATCAATCAAGTCAGTTTAATCCCAATCAAAGCTAAGAAGGCTCTTTTACAGAATTAACTACGTGTTTCTAAAATTTATATTAAAATACAGAAGACCTGGAATGGCCAATACAGTTTTGAAAATGAACCAGGTTGAAGGGCTTTTGTTGTCTGATTTCAAAACTGTAGATTCATGGTGTAATTCTGGAGTAGGAATGGGTGTATAGACTGTGAAACAGACCAGAGAGCCCAGAGACAAACCTGAGCACAAGGGTTTGATTTTCTTCTAAGGTGCAGGGTTGTTCCTAGGAGAAGGGAGCATCTGGTTAACAGTGGCTGCTGCAACGAGTGGACATCCACATGGGAAAAGGCCTCTCCACTCTTCAGACATGGCACCCATCTCTCTCCAGAGCTTCCATTGCACACTAGATCACTCTTCATTCAGTGCTTCATTTTGAATATTCTTCTGCTTTCCTCCTGGGTTCCTTTCTGCATCCCGTCCCTTCTCAGCAGTCTATACTTTTCCTTGATATCTTCGAGCTAGTGAAACACTCTGTCACATGCTTGTTTGCTCGTCCCTCATCTTTGTCATTTGGACTGATTTATCCATGAAGGCTACAGGACAGCTCTTCCTGTATTGTGTGTCTAGAGTCTTTGTTTCAATGATGGGTGTTGTGAATTGTACACTTGGAGTGCTGCATGAGGTTGTGGCAGGGTGTAAGAGCTCTCCTGAGCTTCCCCCACCTCTACTCTTCCCTTTTTCCATCTGTGTTCTGATCCTAGCAACCCTTCTTGAGGTGGTCAGGTCATGCTCACGCTCACCTGGGCATTTGCATGTACCGCCTCCCCTCCTCTCTGGGTCTGCTCCAGTTCTCCTCCCCCTCCAGCTCACCTCCACATAACTATACTTCAAGCTTTGTTGAATGGCATCAGGTGCCCTGCCCAGTGCTCCTCCACACCCTTTTGTCAGCCTCTGAGACTGTCCCAAGTACCTGCTTGTTGATCCTTCCCTCCCCAGCACCTCCTAGGTCATGGATAAGAATTATTCTTTTTTACCATTACCACCCTATTGTACAAGTGCCCTGTACAACAAGGCACTTAAGTATATTTTGAATGACTGAGTAATAACATTTTAGACTGATGTAGGTTCTGCCTTCACATAGCAGGCTAGTGAGTTGATTCTGACGTTGGAGTTACAGTGACAGTGGTATAGTAACTTTTGGTTAGCTGTAATAATTCAATGAATGTATCTGTGATTTCACAATGACTTTCTGGGGAAGTTAATGTTTTACTCATTGTTACATTAAAGTCATCCTATTTAAAATCGCATTCTCAAAGCCTTAAGTTTATGCTAGACTATACATTATTAATATAATATGAAACTTTCTTTTTCTAAACAGTTAAGTCATTCAGTTGTCTGAGGCCTGTGAAGTTTACCATAGAGTGGACCTTGAAGTATCATACCTGTCACAACGAGTACCCTGAGCTGGAAGTAAGTAAAGTGCAGTCTCGGTGTGAGCAAAGCTATGAGGGGCTGCCTCTTCCTCTGCAGGTGGCCCACGTACTCCCTGGAATGTGTCTCTACTTTCCTAAGTAAGACTTGCATCTCTGAAAAAAAGCTACAAAAGAAAAATTTTAAGTATAAAAATTTATTAGCTCATCAGGAGGAGGCTAGAAAAAGAGATTGTAATTTTAGAAGTGCCCCAGGTTAATGTTGGGACTTAAGCAACAAGTCGGAAGTGTATGCATTCTGAGAGGACTATATGCCTTATGGTTGCCTTGTCTCTTACCAAAAATGTCAGTAAATGTTGAAGGTAGGCTTGTAGGGGCCATGGATAGAGGGACTATGGGTTACACACAAGTGAAAATCAACTGACACTTGAGAAAGAAATTTTAAATTTTACTTCTCTTAAAATACTAGCTTTAGGGAACCTAGAACTTTGTGAGAACAAGTAGGTTCAGTGAGTTCAAGTCTATCTCAGAGAAGGGCGAGGAGGAGAAGGAAACATGGGAAGATGGGAGGGAGAGGGAGGAAGAGGCCACACTCAGGAAGGCCTCTGCGCCTGGTTCTTCCCGCCTGAGGGCCCAGGACCCTGGTGTCTCCCTGACGGATGGGTCCTAGGTGGCTCTCTTGATGGTCACCTGGAATCATTTCATTTTAGCTTCATTTTCATTTTCACCTTCTCCAGTATCTGTTTGGCTTGTATCATGAACAATGCTTGTGTTCCCATATTTTATTTGTATTCTCTTTTCATTCAGAATAAATGTCCCTTTCCTTGAATACTGCCTTTTTTACTTTAACTCCCAGTTTTTTATCCCTTCACACTAAACTCTTCAATGTATTTCTTAGGAACAGGTATTCACGTAGATTATACAGTATAATTATTTAATTTGGGAAATTTAACATGGATGTGGTGCCACCTGATGTATTATTAGACCTTGCTTGCACTTCCCCTGTGTCCCAGTCGTGTCTTTGTGGTTTGGGGAGAAGCCGGAAAGGGCCATGTCCAGCATCACAGCGCATCATCCTTCCTTGTTTTTGTTTTTCGTTGCTGATAATCTAGAATGACATTTTATTTTTGAAGCGTGTGAACACATTTATTTTTACAAAATACCCCTTAGTTTGTATATTTCTGATACTACCTTATCAGATTCAGATTATTTACTTGTGGCCAGAATGCCATAGAATCCTGCTTTGTCCATTTTTGGTGATGTTATTTGGTCAGTTGATTAAGGAGGCATCTGCCAGCCTTCTTCAGTATAAAGTTACTACTTTTCTCTTTGTTATTAGCAATAATTTGTAGGGACACTTTTTTCCTTTGGTATTGGGGTGCTTTACCACTGAGCTACATTCCCAGCACTTTTTAAATTTGATTTTGACACAGGGTCTCTCTAAGTTGCTCAGGCTATCTTCAAACTTTGCAGTCCTCTGGTCTTAGCCTCATGAGTTGCTGGAATTACAGGCGTGTACCAGTATGTCTGATTGGGAAAGTGATTTTGACACTGTAAATACCCTATCTTTTCATCAAACATTCGTCATTTACTTTAGCATTCTTTTTACTTGCCTGTCAATAACCCAGTCATCAGAATGTACATAATAATTTTCTTTTGTTATATAGGTTATAATCTATTACTACTTTTTAAAAATTTATTTTCTCAAATTGGCCTATATTTGGTCTGTGAGAACCTTTTTTTTTGTACTGGTGTTTGAACCCTGGAGCACTTTACCACTGAGCTATATCACCAGCCCTTTTGTATTTTTTTTAGTTTGAGACAGGTTCTTGATAAGTTGCTAAGGGGCTCACTGAATTGGTGAGGCTGGCCTCAAACTCTGGATGCATCTGCCTCAAGCTCTGTGATTCTAGGTGAGCACCATGTGCCAGATGAGAACCAGCATTCTCAGTGGCTGAGCGCTGCCATCAGGAGCTTGGCTTATGCCTTTGTTCAGGATGCAGGGAACCTCAGGCTGTTGACTTGTAAGCACCTCCTCTGTGTTCGGTTGGGTTATACCTTTGCTTTGGGTGGCTGTTTGTTTTACCTTTCTTTGTAATTTAGTGCTATTTTCTTTGTAAAATCTCTTATACATAGGATAAGGTAGAAGTTCGCCCAGGACAAATTATGCTCTAGTTTCCTATGAACGATTTCTTTGTGGTGGCATCCTAATCAGTCATTTTCATACAGCAAGATTATGATTATGCAATGAATTCCATCAGTATGTACAACTACAATGTGCCAATAAAAATGGGAAAAAATTGATTATAGTTCTGTGCAGTGGCATGCACCTGTAATCCCAGCTATTTAGGAGGTGAACACAGGGGGATTAAAAGTTCAAGGCCAGCTTGGACAATATTGCAAGACTCTATCTGAAAATAAAATAAAAAGGCTGGAGCTCAATAGTAGAGCACTCATTTTCAAGGCCATATGTAATCTATTTATGTAGGTATGTAATGGGATACCCATCACATACCTACATAAATAGGTTACATATTATTGTATCTGAATACATTGGATGGCTAAAATGTTGTGTGTAACCTCAGTTGTACTTAGAATTATATTCAAAACTTTATCTCTTTGGCTTTTTTTTTTTCTCTGCATATTTCCAAGTCTTCCAAACTGAATAAACGCTTGGTATTATGTATATATTAAGTGTTGATTATCTTCTAGGAAAAGAAGCATTGAAATAAATTATAACATAGAATTTTACCTTGGGTAGGAGATGTCCCAAAAACACGAACTTGAAGAAGACTTTTGTGCTTATTTGAAGAACATCAACTGCTGGACAACAAAAAATGAAAACTTAGATTGCAACAGTGATTTACAGGTGTTTCCCTCATTGAACGTGAGTAACAGCTGTGTTAAACAGATTTAGATTGCAACAATGATTTACAGGTGTTTCCCTCATTGAATTTGAATATCAGCTGTGTTAAAGCAGAGTCTTATTTGTAGTAAACAGTTTTGTCAGTAATAAGTTCTGTCAGTATCTTGATGGAGGAACTTGATTCTAGTTTTAGACATTCTGTGTGTAGTAGTGTTACGTGGAAAGATCCTGTTCCTTTCTCTGTAGCCCTTTGTAGCAACAGTCTTGCAGAGCCTTTTATGATCCGCTGGATTCAATTTACCTCCCATTTGTTCTTCTCACTGTCATCAGTCCTTTGCGCCTGTCCTTCCATGGGATAAGCCCTCGACAAGGTCACCAGTGACCTCTGTGCTGTTAAATCAGTGATCCGTCATGGCCTGTCAGCAGCACTTCACACACAGGCACCCTCCTCTTCATATCCCCTCTCCTGTGGGGCATTAGAGGGCAAATGTTAATAGTAGTCTTCATGGATCAGGAGGTTATGGGGTAATTTTGTTCTGAAAATCCAAAAATGAAGATGTGTCTTTAGTAAATCTTTGAAGAAGAGTTCTTTTTAAAATGTGTGCAAGAATATAAACAGAGAAAAGTTCACATAAAGACACGTGGATGAATTTTCAAAACTGAATACACCTTTATACTCCCAGATCAAGAACAGAATATTTTAGTACCCAGAACCCGCTTTTATTTTGTGTAGGTTATATGTAAACACCATGCTATTTTATATGAGGGATATACAGATCTGTGGATTTGGTATCCACTGGGTGGGTGGTGAGGTCCTGAACCAGTACCCCCCACGATAACCACTATCCAGCAGTAACCACTCTGTGAAGAAAGTGTTTGTAAAAGCAGAATTTTGTTATTTATTTTCAGAGGATGTTCTTCGATGTTTGGTTTTCAAATCTTTATTCTAACATATTTTTCTTACTTCCTAAAATTACTTTTACCCATAGACGTGCAACAATATATAATGGGGTTATTTTACTTTTTTCCCCTTTTTCCAGAATAAAGAACTAACAGGTATCAGAAATGCTTCCAATCAGGAAGGATCGATGGTAAACCATTTTATTTGTTTTTAAATCAAAAGTGCAAAACTTATAGTAAGATTGAGGAAAAAAAAGATGGTAAACAGATAGTGTTATTAAAATCAGAAAGAAAAGCATCTATATAAATTGGCATATGCTGTTTCTGTCTTTGTTTAAAGATCTCTTTACAGTTGTGATTTAAGATTAACTTCTCTGCAGCCTTTCTTTTCTTGAAGAGTAGAATCCCCCTTCTCAATGTGTAAGACAGCATAGCAGGGGACTGCTGTCCTCATTAAGGACACACAGACAGGAACCACGGACGGACGTGAGGGCTGGGCGCGTGGCTCAGTGGTGGAAAGCTCACCTGTTGATCCCAGGAGGGAGGGAGAGGAGGAGAGACTGTGGAGGGAGTCAGGCAGTGTGGGTATTTTGGGGTGGCCAGGATACTACACAAACCACCTTGCGTGGAGAAGAGAAGGAATAGGAGCTGCTCAGGAGTGGCATGTGTGCGATTGTGTGCAGCCATCGGGAGGTTTCTAGTGAGTACAGTGCGCAGTGTTGTTCCTTAGCAGGCTGCTGACCTCGGAATCCTTTAGCCTACATGTGGTTGGTCCTCACATCAACTGCAGATCAAAAATATTTGTAAAAATGAATTTTGTACTGAATATGTACAGAGTTTTTTTTGTCATTTTCCCCTAAACAATACATTAGAACAACTATTTGCATAGCGTTTACATTTCATTAGGCATCATAAATCATATAGAGATGATTTTTAAGCATGCAGAAAGATGTATGTAGGTTATATGCAAACACCATGCCATTTTATATAAGGGCTATATGGACCCATGGATTTTTGTGTCCCTTGGTTGTGAGGTCCCCCGTAAGGGGCCACAATACTCAGTCTGACTCCTTTTAGACAATGTTATCTGACTTCCTTTCTTCCTCAATTCAGTGTTTAAAGAACACATTTAATTCAAACAATGCTTGATGATACTAGAGTAAAATATGAGAAGTTATATTAAGAAAAAATATTCATGATAATATTAAATAAACAGATCAAATTTTTTTATTTTATTTTATTTTTTTGGTACTGGGAATTGAACTCGGGGGCCCTCCACTGCTGAGCCACATCCCCAGCCCTATTTTATTTAGAGACAGGGTCTCACTGAGTTGCTTAGTGCCTCACTTTTGCTGAGGCTGGCTTTGAATCCTGTCTCAGCCTCCCAAACAGCCGGGATGACAGGCGTGCACCACCACACCTGGCAACAGATCATAATTTAAGGGGAGCCTATAGAAATAAGAGGTAGAGTAGGTTGAAGAGTGAGAAAAGCCTTTTTTTTCCCTCTGCCCCTTTTGAGTCTGGGAAGATAGTGGTTTAAAAAAAAAAAAAGGGAGCAATATTTGTCATTTGCTGCCTACCCCTCCTTTTTGCTGTTTTATCTGTTTGTGTTTTTAAAAAGTGAACCAACTTAGTTACCAGGAACTGTTTTAATGTATGGTGAACAACTGTTCAACTCTGTCTTACACAGTAGCTTGTTAAGAATAACCTCAAGGATTTTTTCCCCCCATTTCAGGATATTGTAGCCAGAACACAGAGAGATGGGTTTCACATCTTTATTGTTTCTATTAAAACGGAAAAAGCAGACGCCAGCTGGAATTTGAATGGTAAATTACACTGCATACACATTTCTTTACTGTCTGCGTTTTTTGTATTCTTCATCATCACTGATCTGAATCTACATTCTCCGTTAAAAATCTCTCTTTCAGAATTGGATCTGTTAGGCATGCATTTTGAGGATTTAAAATTTCGTACTTAATGTACCTTTTTTTAATGGATTGAAAATTTTATTGTTAACAAAAGATACTTTTTAAAAAAAATTTAGTTTTAGATGGACATAATACCTTTATTTTATTTATTTATGTGGTGCTTAGGGTTCAACCCAGTGCTCCACGCATGTGAGGCAAGCACCCTACAATTGAGCCATAACTCTAGCCCAGGAAATAACTTTTTATAAAATGAATTTTTCTTTAATTGACAAATAATTGTATATATTTCAGGGTTTTTTGTTTGTTTGTTTGTTGGTTGGTGCTAGGGGTTGAACTCAGGTATGCTCCACCACTGAGCCACATCCCCATATCCTTTTTTTATGTTTTATTTAGAGACATGGTCTTGCTGAGTTGCTTAGGACCTTGTTAGGTTGCTGAGGCTGGCTTTGAACTCACGATCCCCCTGGGATCACTCCCAAGCCACTGGAATTACAGGCATGCACCACTACTTAGAGCTATTTCAGATAAGAAATTTCAAACTTCAAAGAGCAATATAAATTTTTCCATCCTGTCAGATCAAAAAAAATCTTAACATATGGAAATGGGTATGCAACTTCTAACAGTTGTCATCTGTTATTTGAAAAATGTATTTTAAAGGATCCGTTTTCTGGGGGGGGCGGGTACACACTCTAATCCCACCAACATGGGAGGCCAAGGCAGGAGGATTGTGGGTTCAAACACAGCCTAGGTAACTTAGTGAGACTTGTGTCAAAAAATAACAAGGGCTGGGGATGTAGCTCAGTGGTGGAGTACTTCCCTAGAGTGCATGAGGCCCTGGGTTTGATCCCCAGTACTGCCAAAAAATAAATGTATCTCAAGAGAGGCTCTGTCTGCAGCCTAAGAGTGGAAGTAGCCTGTCAGCTGTGGCTTCTACAATCTGTGACACCCGCCTTTGCCCCGACCCTGAGTGCCTCTTAAAGCTCTAGTTCCCTGGTGCCCCATGAGAGCAGGCTCACAATAAACTGTTTTCTAGGGAGTGGACACTGGCCAGAATGACCTTGGCTAATGTTCTCCAGAGTGGGTGTCTGCTGGGTCACAATGGTAGCTAATAGCCTGTGGCAGCCCTGGGCACATTACTCTGATTCTGCCACTGGGGACCTGGAAGGGCTTATTCCAGTGGGAAGAGAGGAGCAGGTGAAGTCAGTGAAGCAAAGTGTCCACCAGCACTGAGGAGGCACTCACCCAGAGGCTGGAGCAGTGGCTTCCTGATGGGGACCGCATCCTGGGCAGATAGTCCAGACAGAAAGAGCAGGGACCTTGACCCTGCCCTGCCCCCCAGCTACAATAGAATACCCAATGTTGGATGATTCACAAAAAATAATAGTGGTTCCTTTCCTCATAGTCTCGGAGGCTGGGAGGCTGGGAAGTCGCAGATCAAGGCCGTAGTAGGTTTGGTGCCTGGTGAGGGTCTACATCTGCATGTAGGGTGGCATCTTGCTCTGCCCTCATCTGGCAGGAGGGAGCGAATGCCTCCTCCTCTCCTGGAGTGGGCAGAACAGCTAGAGGGGCCTCACCTGTTCCCCCCCACCCTTTTCCAAGGTGTCAATCCATTGAGTGATGCCCACCCTCTTCTTTTTTGGTGCTGGAGATGGATTCCAGGGCCTTGCGGCTGAACTGCACCTCAGCTCACCACCCCGCTTCTTAGTGTCCCAACAGGGGGGAGTAGGTTTCAGCACATGGATTTTGGGGGGCATTAACACAGCAGCCCTTCGCCCCTTTCCCAGGTGTTGTCCCTTTTCCCTGACACCATGGGCAGCATGGAGTCCCTGAAGGCTGGGAGCTGGAACCCCGCCTGGCCCTGGGTCCTGCACTGTACACGGCATGCTGCTCATCTCCTCAGGCAGAACCCAACCCAGGCGCTTGAGCTCAGCAGCTTATGCCACATTGCGTGAAGGGAGGGGTCCTCAGTGAGTTCGGCCATCACGAGGGGCCAGTGGCGGGTCTGGTTTGTAACTAGTACTACTTTGCTTTCTGTATAGGATCAGTTTTAGTTCAAGTTAAAGGTGTTTTGCTTGATAAGATTACATAATCAAATAGTTACTAATTATCCATACATCCAACATATGAGAAGGTAAAAATTGAGCATTTGTTGGCATGGTTTGCGTTTTTAAAGCCTTTTTGGAAGTGATCTTTGTTTGTTTGTTTTTGGCACTGGAGATTGAACTCAGGGGAACTCGACCACTGAGCCACATCCCCAGCCCTATTTTGTATTTTACTTAGAGACAGGGTTTCACTGAGTTGCTAAGTGCCTCGCTTTTGCTGAGGCTAGCTTTGAACTCACAATCCTCCTGCCTCAGCCTCTCTAGACACTGGGATTACAGGAGTGCGCCACTTCACCCAGCTATTTTTATTTATTTATTTATTATAATTGGTGCATGATTGTATTTTAAGAGTTAAGATTGTTAACTAATTTTTAAATTTCTTCTTCTCTGATCCTATTGTTACCAGTTTCTCTTTCAATGATGGGACCTCATGGATATATCTCTGCATCAGATTGGCCTCTGATGATTGTAAGTATTTCTCTTTTTTTTTCTTTTGAAAAATGAATTTTGTGTCCTAATTGGGAAGTAAAAATTTTAAGAGTGTAGGGATACTATCATTGGTAGCTAATGCTTTTGTTTTGTTTTGTTTTTGTTTTTGGTGCTGGGGATTGAACCCAGGGCCTTATGCATGTGAGGCAAGCACTCTACCACTGAGCTCTATCCCCAGCCCTGGTAGCTAATGCTTTGACATATCCTCTATTTCTGGTTCCAAAGTGACTGGAAAGTAAAGGATTGAATATTCAAATGTAGAAACGTCAGCTTCCAAGTGGTTAGAAGCTATAACTGACTAAAATTGCTTTTCTTTCTACAGTTTTACATGGTGATGTGTATTGTTTATATATTATATGGTATACTCTGGCTGACGTGGTCTGCCTGTTACTGGAAAGATATATTAAGAATTCAGTTCTGGATTGCAGCTGTGATTTTCCTAGGAATGCTTGAAAAAGCAGTTTTTTATTCAGAATACCAAAACATCAACAGCACCGGACTATCAAGTAAGTTTTGAGGGTTGAGGGTCTCCATACCTATAGTCCTGCCTAGGAGTTGCCCAGCATCTGGGAGCAGAGCCTGGCAGGTGTCCCTTCCTGCAGGGGTGGGGAGGAGCCGTGTTGTAGATGAGGAGGAGGGAAGCCAAGAAGAGGCAGTCGTTTGTGGGTCCTTGGTCTGGGCGAGCACGCCTCTTCGTTTTCTGTTTCCCTTCTTGATAGCTTTCCCTCCTGGAAAAAAGAAGATTCCCTTATTCCCTTTCTCTAAGGTTCAGCTTAGATTAAAACAACACCAAGTTCTGGACAGGAGGATTGAGAAGAGGCTGGTCCTTTTAAAATAGCCCCTTTTCCCATCCATCTTCTTTTCCCTTTTCTAAAAAAGAACAAAGGACACGTGACCACAGGGAATAAAGTCAGTGACATCAAGGTGGACAATGCCTGGACCTTGCTGTGTCCTTTCCCACTTCTTCACTCCTGCGGGAGTGTCACCATCACTGTGTACACAGGGACGTGTGAGGAAGGGATGGCGTGTGCTAGGCTTCCCCAGGTGGCCTCCACGAGGCCAGGGAAATAGAGGCTCAGTTCCCTCACTGAAGCTGTGGAAAGGGGGAAGAGCTCAGGATGGTTGGATGTACTCCAAAATGTACTTCTTTTGTTTGTTTGTTTGTTTTGTTTTGTAATTGTAGACAGAATGCCTTTATTTTATTTGTTTTAATTTTATGTGGTGCTAAGGATTGAATCCAGTGCCTCACACATGCTAGGCAAGTGCTCTGCCTCTGAACTACAGCCCCAGCCCCGAAATGTACTTCTGTATCAGTTATAAGTGATCCTGGTACAGAGTTTCGTGGACATCATTGTCTGCTGTTTATTTAAAAATACTCCAGGAAAAAAAACCAGATGAAACATTTGTGATAACATTGATAATTACTGAAGCTGAGCTGGGGTTCATGGGAATTCACTCTACTGGTTTTTCCTTTTTGGGAATATGTGAAATTTGCCAAAATATGGCATTTAAAAGGGTTATGGAAGAGAATAAAGAAAGGCCAAGCGTGCAGGGTTGCCTGGTGGGGGAATTGCTGCTGTAGAAGCATTTGTGGTGTGGTGTGGTGTGGTGTGCACACGCACATGCTCTAGCTCAGGATGAGGGACCGGTGGGTCTGCTGCTTACGGTGAAGCATTGCAGACTGCCAGAGAGGGCAGGTCAGCTGTGGTCATGCAGAGCTGAGAGTACAAAGGGTGGCCTGAACCTGGATGAGGAGCAGCGGAGGATGGAGGTCCGTGAAGAGATGAGAGGTCATTCACCATCCTCAGGAATGCCAGGTCCTCCTGTGATGTTGCACCAGAAGGCTTGGAAGAGAAACCCTGTGCTGCCGTTCAGTGTCCTGTCGCATAGCAGAGGTGCCTGGAAATTAGGCATGGGCTGGTGTCCCTTCTGATGTTCCCAAGAGGGGATTCTGTAAAGTGAGCTGTCTTGCTCAGCATTGTTCTGGAAAAGCCACTAACAGGGTAGGAAGCAGTGGTTGTCAGGGCCCCTGAAAATAGGTTGTGTCAGGCTGATTTCTATCTTGTGAGCAGCTGGACTGGCAGCTGAGAAAATGTAATAAACTTAAGATAGCTAGGTTTTCCCAATGTATTTGTGGGGGTCTCTTGTGATTTCTTACAGACAAGATAGGAATATGAACTGAAACTGGTTATCAGAAGAGGTCATGCAGTCAGTCTTGTCCATTCTATTCAATTCTTTTCAGTTTTGTCACATTCTATTCAGTTTTGTGGATAATGAGAGCCTGGCAGGAGAATAAATACTTAGAGGCCTAGAGAGTCATTTTAAGTAGACCCTTTTCACCTGGAGATACATGATGTGACACAAAGAGACATGACATCTGAACGGGAAAGTGGAATTTAATGGGTAAGATCTTAAATTCGGGGTTGGAGTGCAGATTGCAGAAATATGGATGGCAAAGTTTTTAGAAGGATTTGAAGGTTGAGGCTGACGCAAAACAAACTCGGCATAGGCAGTTGAGAGGGCGGTTGCCTCCCACAAGCTCCTGCGGCCCTAGACTGACGTGAGAGCAGTCACTGGGGCGGAACTGAGAACATGCTATAGGTCAGGCTGTTCCAGGAAGGTGTATCTGCACTGCTTGGGAAGGTGTATCTGCACTACTTCAGAAGGGGCAGACGGTTCCGATGGAGCAGCGGGGGATTTGAAAGCACACCTCTCTTCCAACCTTTGTGTCTCACCCCTTCCTCACATTCTGGCCTCTCCTGGAGGCCTCCTTTCTGGTTTCTTGTAAAGCTGTGTCTCCTATCAGGATCTCTGTCCCCAATATACAGACTGCATGTCACCTACCAACCCCTGAGGGCCTTACCAGCTTGCTAGCCTCTGTGTGCAGAAATGACATTCATCCTGCCTGTGAACCTGCCTTGTCTAATCCCAAGCTCACTGCCCGTCCAGGCTTTTCTCCTGCTGCTGCTAGACCTCGGCCGCCTCCTTGCCTTCTTCCTTGCCCTCTAGTTCCCCACCTATCTGAGATGTTGGAAAGGCTCTTTTTGGGCTTCGTGCAGGACAGAGCTGAAAACACCAAGAGAGAAAGTGTCCGGGGCCTTGTTACTGGCCTTGAGCCCCGGCTGCTCTCTGAACATTTGCCTGCTTCTCTCCATCTTTGCTGCCAGGACTCGCCCTCTCTCGCTGAGGTTTCAGGATTGACCAGTCGAGTGTTTTTCTTGCCCTCAGCCTCTGCCCCCCCCCCCCTCCCCCCAGCCCCTGACCCCTACCCCCGACCCCATTGTGGGCCGAGCATCTTGGGAGGTCAAGCTGTCCCTTTTGTTGCAGTAGTCTGCCGATGTTTTCTGAGTGGCCAAATGAGTACATCGTCTTGGCTCTGCAGCCTGTATCTGTTCTGACTTCTCAGTTCTGCTGTGGAGGGTCAGGCCTCCTCAGAGGACACGCAGGCAAGGGGCGTGGCTTTTCAATAGAACTTTACCAAAATAGACGCAAGGCTGGCTTTGCCCCTCTCACTCCCCGGTCCACTCGCCATTACTGAGTTCCCACTGCCCAAGCCCAGACTCCATAACAGGGCCCAGACCTGCATGAGGGGTCGTGCTTTGTCGCTAGGCTCTTTTCCCGGCATCCACATTCCATGCCTGTTGTCGGCATGCCTGTGTGCTAGCTTCTCCTCCTCCCTCCTGCTCGCCTGGTGCATGCCGTTATCTCTGGGTCACCCTTTCTTTTCCCACCTACTTATGCTTAGCCTTCAAGTCCTATTGTAGATGTCACTTCTGTCACTTTTATCTGAGCTGTTCTGGACCCACTTCTGCCTCCCTGAGAGTGGATCAGATTGGGCTTCCTCCAGTCCCAGGGTTACTGTGTCACGTCCACCATGCAGGAAATAGGGTGAATTCTGTTTACTTGGGCAGAGTACAGGTCCCATGCAGGTAGGGATCAAGGTGTCTGTTCTGTTATAGCCACCCAGTGGGAGCATAACATGCGTATGTGCATGCACGCGTGTGTATGTGATGCTGGAGTTCGAACCCAGGGCCTCAACACGGTGGCCAAGTGCTGGACTCCTAACAGATACATTTTACATTAGTAAGTGATGAAGGCATCCTGAGAAAGAATTCCGGTGGGTGTTATGACTTTCAGGTAGTCACAGGACAGGAAGAGGGAGAGTTGTGGGTAACCTCCAGGGGAAAGAACTGAGGATGCTCAGGAGACAGGCATCGGGTGACAGAAGAGCACTGCCAGCAGAGCTGAGCACATTTGGAGCGAATTCTTCAGGAGACTATGGCTTCTCCATCCCTGAGGTTTCAAACATCAGTTGGCTTGGAGAAGAACTTTTAAAGAAAATCTGGCTAATTGTTCTGAGTTCAGACTGTAGTTGTTCATAGTACACGTCTAACATCTTGGGTGGAAGGCCTTCAAGGTACACACAGTGAAGTACTTTCTTTTTTCCCCCTCAGCCCAAGGCTTATTGATATTCGCCGAGTTGATATCTGCAGTTAAGAGGACGTTGGCCCGCCTCCTGGTGATCATTGTGAGCTTGGGCTATGGTATTGTGAAGTAAGTAGTGGGGCATGGGAAACATACCCTGTCTCTTACCTAGTACACATTATGATCTTGGTGGAACTGGAAACTTCTCTGTATCATTATGCAAATCCCCAAGGGGAAAATCTGCAAGAAAATGGTTTTAAGAGACTTCCCGGACTGGGGCTGTAGCTTAGTGGTAGAACATTTGCCTAGCATACGCAGGATCCTAGGTCCCATCCTCGGCCAAAAAAAGTAAAAAGATTCCCATGTACTAATTATTTTATGTTATTTTCAAATAAGTATTCTGAATTTGAATTCTAATAACTTTATAGTTAGGTTAACAAAGTGTTAACTTGAAGGATGATGGAAAATCTAAAATGATTCTTGAAGTTCAAGCCATTTTGTTTTCTAGCCAGTACAGGAAAGCTTTTAAAATCACATTTGAGTGTTATAGAGTTGATTAGACACCGTGTCAGCAGGATTTCTAATGAACCTGCCCGTTCCCTGAGGACCTCACTAGCCTGGAGCCCCCAGCAGGCCTTTCCTCTCCTGTCTGTGACTCCCTGGGTGTGAGTCGGGAGAACTCGTCCTCTTTATCCTCACTGCTGTTTTCAGACCATTGTTCTCCCTGCCTTCCTACCTAAATTCTCTTACTCCCAGAAGCTCATGCCTTCAGATGGTCCCCTGGGTCCCCTTCTGCATCTTCTCAAGGTGCTCTGTGGGCTGCCAGACTCCTGCCCTTCATCTTCCTCCCCAGCGCCTCCCCTGCTGGAGTTCCCTGTGCTTCCTGGTCCTGGGCAGATGGGCTCATGCCCTCCTCTCCTGTCCTTGGTTTCAGCTCCTCCCACTGCTGGTCTCCGTGGTCTTTTTCTAAACTTGACTGTCATGGTTAAGCGCACCCTCTTCATAGTTTTAATTTTAATTTTGAACAATACCTTTTCAACTGCCGTCTCCTCTTTCCTGTCTCTCATAAATTGGCTTCTGTTCTTTCTGTCCCCAGTGTGCCCTCTGACCTTTGGGCCCTAGCACCTTCAGTGTCCCTTTCCCTGTGTGTCCTCACTTGGCTTCTCTGGCTTAGCTTCCTTGGTCCCGCAGGGTTCTTGCCCCTCCTGCTGCCCTTTCTCTTGGTCAGCCTTCTCGACAGCAGCCCAGTCCAGCCGGGTAAGTCCAGTTTTGCGACTGTGTCAGACTCACCCCTGCACAGGGACATCTGCCTGGGACGGCACTGGCCCTCACTGCCCTGTGCACTTGAGCTACTGCTGGGGTCTCTCCTAGACCCCGTTGCAGAGCAGCTTCACCCCTCTTCTCAAGTCTCCACCCTTGCCCACCCCCTCACAGCTGCCCCTGGCTCTCTTCTAGCTGAGAGTCTTCTGACTGTGGTCCTCAGGTCCTGGCTTGCTGGGACACCCACTACACGCTCCTCTCTTGGCCATGCACACATCTCTGCCCTGTGCCCCTGCAGCAGTTCCAGTTTCCCTGTCTTGATTTTCCTCCCCAGTGGGTAGCTCTGTTTCTACCATTTATAAAAGCAAGGTCCCCAAATCCCCCCATGGTCCTCCCTGCTCCTACCTCACTTCTCGTCACCATGTGCGGTGCGACTTCTCCTGTGAGCATCCTGCACTTGTCACTACAACTTCCCATGTACTCTTGACATCCCCAGGGGAGGTTCTGCCCCCACTGATCCACTGAGACCCCTCTTGTCAGGTCACCATGACCTCCCCTTGCCTGTCCACGTGGCCCTGCTTAGGCTGGTCAGGGGTCCAGCTGTTAGCTTCTGTTCGAGCCCTGGCTTTGCTCAGTTTGCAGAGTGCCTTGGGAGTTCTGTCCTCAGTCACTGGCTGTTCCTTCCTCAGCTCCCTTGCTGAGCCCCAGCCTTGGAGTGCCCACATTGGGCTTCCGACTCCACTCGATTTTGCCTTGGTCGGCCTCTTGACAAAATCCCAGCCTTGACAGGTCCAGCTTTCCCTCTGCACCAGACTCCAGTGCTTCCTCCCCATCCAGACCTGTGCTCCTCCGCCATCTCCCAGGACTCCAGTACTGCATGCTGGGTGGCCCCCGGCCCTTCACCTTTTTTATAAAGCCACCCAGTGTGGCCATTAGTATTTATTGCCTGTCCCCCCACACTTAAGTGTGAGTCCCAGGGGGCAGGAGCCTTGCTGGTCTTGGGTCCTTGACCCTGAGCCAAGTGTAGTCCTTAGCAGGTACTCAGTAACCTGCACCGAATGCCTGCTTGTGCGTGTGAGCTTGGGTTTCAGGGAGTTGAAAAGGCTGTAGGCAGGAGGCCTTTTTTTTCACTGGGGTCACTAAGATTCCTTCTCAAATGCTGTGTGTGGCCTGTACGGTAGACAGCATAGACCCTGTGGTCAGGGTCCGGCCCTGCAGTGCAGGTCTGGCTGTGAGCTTCAGCACCAGCAGTGTGTTGGAGCTTGGGTGGGGCGGGGCACAGGCCCTTGCTGAATAGCCCTCCACTGCTGGCTTCTCCTGTTGGACTCTCCACTCTGGTTTGCTGGTTATAACTAGAAGATTCACTAAATTAGGTAAATAATTTTAAAGATTAATTATGGACTTTAATCTTTATTTAGATTTTATTTCAAAATGACTGCCTTATTTTTTTCAAAATCAGGTTTTATTCTGGTAGATTCAGAAGAGGGTTTTTTGTATTCTAAATGTATGTGCTGCAGTCAATTCTGACTTATAAATGTCATGAAATGTTCTTTATTTTCATATTATTGATTATAAAAAACACTACCTTTGCATTTCTCTAGTTCATTTGTGTTTTACAAGTCAGAAATGTTATTTTTAACTTCTCAGTTTAAAGAATGAAACTAGATTCTGTTAGTGCTCCTGTTCCAAGTGGCACAGGCAGAGATCAGAGGAAAGCCCTGGAGTCCATCTGTCCTTCAAGTCAGAAGAGCAATGAGTGGCCTCCAGGCAGACCTTTCTCACAACAGTTTGTAGTAGGGGTCCTGCCAGTGGCCATTGGAAGTGGTCACTTAGCTTCTCAGTTTCCATAGCCTTCTGGTCCACTTGACAGAAACAGTATCCGATTGTGGTCATTGTGTTGCTTGAAGTTGAGCAGAGTCCTCTGGCACTCTGCTGTCCTCGAGCTGCGCTTCCCTGGCGCCTGTGCAGCTTCAGGTCCTACAGGAAGGGACCGATAGGAAGACCACTGCATCCTGGGACAGTGCCTCCCAGGCTGGGGCAGACTGAGCTGCTTAGAGGTGCCCTACCCGTGTGCCATGCTCTCACGGCCTTCCCTTCCTCTGTCTCCCTTGGCTGCAGGCCACGTCTAGGAACCGTCATGCACCGGGTGATTGGACTGGGTCTGCTCTACTTCATCTTTGCTGCTCTGGAGGGTGTGATGAGAGTCATTGGGGTAAGAACTGCATGATTCCCACCACCCCTTTTATTCTTTTTAATACTTATTTTGTTTTTTCAGTTGGACACAATAGTTTTTTGTTTATTTTTATGTGGTGCTGAGGATCAAACCCAGGGCCTCGAATGTGCTAGGCAAGTGCTCTACCGCTGAGCCAGAACCCCAGCCCTCCCACCAACCCTTTTTTATTGTTGCTGTGAAACATGTTTTAGCTCCTGAGATGATTTTTTTTTTTTTTAAAGATCCCAGAAATTTTATTAAGAAAGACCCCAGCAGAGCTTTTTTCCCTGAGATATTTACCTTTTTGGGTACTTCCTAAAGGAGAAGTCTAAACAGAGTCCTTTTTAAGATGACATGATGTTCTCCCCAGAATCAGCTCCATCTCAGACTGTCCAGTGGTTCTTCATAAAGAACATTGTCTGTGCCATTTTCAGTCTGTACACATTCATATCTTCCTTCATTCTGGATTTTAAGATGTGTCAAGTGGACAAAGTCAATGACATCTTCCAGGCATATCAGCATGACATCTCATCGCTTCCCTAAGTCTTACTGGTTGTGAGATTTCTCTGTCTCTTGTGGCTATTTTGGGGGTTCAGCAGGCCCCATTGTTAGGCCCAGGAGATACGCTGGGAACAGAGACTTGAGCGACGTGGGCAGCAGTGCTGCTGGTGAGGAAGGGGTGATGTCTTCATCTGTGAGGACCTCTCCATGTCCCGCTTTGGCTTTTCTTAATATTCAACTGGGCTGGGTGATTAAGGTGACTGTACCCTACCTTGTGATGCCACCCAGAGTGACCTTTGGGTTAAATGTGTGAATCAGATCATTGTGCATAGGGGAGCGTGTGTGTGTCACCACAGAAGCTTCTCTCACATACTGAATCTGACCCCAAAGCAGGACATCTGTCCAGTGAATGTCAAAGCCTCATTTCTCTTCCTCTTATGTGGTACATCCATACCTGTTAAATACACCTGCTCTTTTTTTCTTTTAGTAGATTTATTTTTTCATAATAATAATGAACTCTGAATTTACATTTATGTAATTCACACAAAATTTTTCTTTGCTAAAAAGAAAATAGAGAAGATACCTACTCCACATTTAAGTGGAGCACATAAATTGCATTTCCTTAACCTTCTACCTAACATTTTAGTGACTGTTTTAAATATGGCTCATATTTATGGCTCATATGGCTCAAGGTGAAGTCTCGGTTTGTGTTTGCCTCAGGTGCAGCCCTTCTTGTTTTACTTCCTGTGCCTCTTCACACAGTGGGGGGTCTGGTTCATTAGCAGTCCTGGCCGGAGGTTTGCTGAGAGGGAGGAGATTGGCAGCTGCTCAGGCGAGACTTGGGACTCAGTGCTTTTTATTTGCTAGCCCATAATAGTTTTGCATTGCTATTATCAAGTGAGCTGGTGACCAGTTGACATTTGTTACTGCCAAACAGATCATTTTCACATGCTAAACACAGTTCTCTCAAAAGAGAAAATTTTTTATGTGACATCACACAGTGATAAAATAAACTGGATTGTTTTCCTTTATCAGATAATAATTGCTAAACTGTGATGAAACTTACATTCAGGCTTCCCTGTTTTTATCTTCCAGGGTTCTAACCACTTAGCTGTTGTCTTGGGTGACATTATTTTAGCAGTTATTGACTCCATTTTTGTGTGGTTCATATCCTTTACTGTGTCCTTCTAAAACAGTTTGTTGTATCATTAAAATCAGATTACTTTTAATTCGTAATAATGATAGAATGAAATGTGGTTATGAATTATTGTTATCTTAGTATATAAGTTTAGTTGAAGGTGAAGAAGTAATAACTCCCCAGATAAGGACTGTCTTTGTATTTTCTATTTAATTCCGCCAGAATTTAGATGCTTTGTGTGTACCTTGTACTGACGAGACATGGGTGAAGAAGACTGTCCCTGCATCCCTTAAGAGGGGACAGATATATAACTAGCAGCAATACTGCAGTAGCAATGGCCTTTTTAGAGTGGTTAATATGAACAGAGGGAGGAGAAATTAATTCTGGCGTAAAACCAAGGAAGCCTTCACAGGAACGATAACACTGACTTTGAAACCAACAGGACGGGGCACTTATCAGGAGGACTGGGAAAGGCTTTCAGGAAGAAATGAGGGGAATAGATCGTAGGAAGAGGACAGTGGCAGACTGTCCGGGCAGCTTTCCTGCTGGGCACGTGTGTTGTGAATTGAGCAGGTGGGACAGAGGAAGGACAGCACGGGGTGCAAGTCCCTCTAGCAGCTGCCGTGGAGAGCAGGAAAGTCACGACAAGCGGGTGGCATGACTCGGGAGTGCTGCGAGGTGACCTGGAGGAGGAGACAGGAAGTCTGGTCAGGAGTCACTTGCAGGGCCCTCAAGACCTACTAAGGGTCAGAAAGATGTAAGCCCAGCAGTAGCGTTGCTAGAAATGGGTTCTCAAAGGTCTCACATGTATCCTTAGGGCTACTGGCAGCAGTGTGGCAGTTCTCGGGGTGGTGAAATTGGAGAATGAGCCAAAATGAAGATGGTTTGGGCAGCCCAGGGAAGAGAGTTGGCGGTATCAGCCCGGGCTGGACGCAGCTCTGAGGTGGAGTGCTGGGCCTGGTGTGCAGGAAGCCCTGGGTCCCACCCCGGCACTGCCAGAAGTACAAATAAAAACATCACAGCTTTGATTTGCAGAGGGGTCGAGCTGGAGCCAAGGGTCAGATCAGAAGTCGTGTGGTGGGAGAAGGTGGCAGCTGTGACATCACCCAAGGAGAATAGGCGGCCCAGTGAAGTAAGGAGCTGGGCTGGTGCCTCGCTGCAGGGGAAGACGAGGCAAAAAGGGGGAGCAGAGCTGAGGGAGGTGGCAGGGCAGGGGACCACACTGGGGAGACAGACCTGTGCTGTTGAGATTGCCGTGCCACGTGCAGGGCTGGGAAGGGCAGGCATGGAGTAGGCTCTGGTGGAGGGGCTGCGGCGTGTGGCAGTGGGGGCACTGTGGGGACAGTGGCAACTGGGTCCTGAAGGGACCCGAGTCATAGGTTAAGGGTGAAGATCCCTGTCTTTTTTTCCTCTGTGGTGAGACTGGGGGAAATGGGAGGAATTCTAGAGAAAATGTGAGCTGGTCAGAGCAGAGTTGAGGTTGTGCGTACCCTGGACGTGGTCTGTCTCTCCCACCTTACAACCTTGTTGACGCTGTCCTGGTCGATAGGTTTCATGTTTTACCATGTTCTTTTTGTTTCCACTCTGTAACACTTTCATCTTTCGCCATTTAATTTTTTTTTTACTGTTTCCCTTGCATTCTTTTCATTTTCTCATCTGTTTCTCACAGGAAGGCCCAGAGGGCTTGAGCTTGCCTATGTCTCTTCTCTACAGGGAAGACCTCCTTCTCCCAGGTTTGCTGGCGGAGGGAGCCCTGCCCATGGCTTCTCTGAGCCCCATGTGGGATGTTTTCTAAGCCTGGCCTGTCTATTCTTTAAAGTCCCTATTTGTGAACTCTAAGTGTTTTTGTGAACTTTCAAATTGAAAAAACAGTTATGTATATGTGAACTTCCAAGTTGAAAAAACAACTCTGGACTTAATTCATTATCCTTTCTCTTCAGAGCAGTGGTTCTTGACCTTCTTTGAGTACTGGATCAGAAATGGCTTTGGAAATACATGAAAGCCGTAGGAGGTCCCCCACAGAACATGCCCCACTCCAGGAGCCCTGCCCACAGGGGCTGTTGCAGACTCCTGAATTATGCTCACAGGCCCTCTGAGGTGCCTCCTTAAGAAGTAGCACCCTCTGGGCTTGGGGCACACTCCTGCTACTCGGGAGGCTGAGACAGGAGCAGTGCAAGTTCCAGGCTACCCTGGGCACTTACTCGAGGCCCTGTCTCAGGCCCTGCCAAAATGTGCTCATGGGTTCAACCCCCAGTACCAGGAAAAAGAAAACAGAAGTCCAGAAATTAGAATTGCCTTGGTGAGAGGAAGGAAATCTAGTATCCATTTCTGCTGGATCCTGAACTTTTGAGGTTCGCCTTCAGATTGCTGTTGGCTAATTTCCACTATTAAAGCAGAAAGTCTGCTGTATGTATAAAACCAAAAACAGAAGAGACCCCAGCGTATGTTCCCAATGATCACAGATGACAAATGAGAAGTAGGGCACGATAGATACAGAACTGAATGATTCGACCAAAGACTTTGCTTCCTCTGAATCTGAGGAACTTACGTGGATACTCCTGTAAGAACTTGACCCTCAAGGAAGACAGGAGAGCCGCGACTCTCCGAAGCCCAGCTTTTCTCATGTGTGCTCCCACTTTCTCTGCTGTTGTGTTTTGCTGTTTTGCTGCAGGCGAGTGATTCTGACCTTGTCCTTCTGGCCAGCCTGCCTCTCTCCCTGCTCGACTCGGGCTTGTGCTGGTGGATATCCTTTCCTAGCACAAGCTGGGACCTTACTGGGGACAAGCCTGTTGCTCTTGCTGCTGCTTTCCTATCACGGGAGGAGTGGTTTAAACTGTACCCAAAATAGCAGTGTGTTGGTAAGTGAAGGCTTAGGCAGCTTCCCTTTTACTTTTGATATTTTTATTCCCTGGCTTTTAAAAAACATTTCCAAATGATTAAACAAGGCCAGGTTTTTTCATCTTGCTGTTTAAGGAATAAAAGCATTTTTGTAAGTTCTGACAGTAGCTCTGGTAGATTGGGTTATGTTACTTTAGAAATTGATGTTCTTTGTAACATTCACCATTCAGGAACACTGAAAAGCAGTTTTGTGGCTTTACCAACTACTTTAGTTTTCATATGAAAACCAAGTTTTTGATTTATGAAATATTTAGAATTTAAAATAGGCATAAACGCTCCCTTCTAGTGCCCAGCTCTGCCCGGGCAATGTTCAGTTCACAAGCAACGCTGGCTGGTCTGCTCCAGAGGGAACCAGGGTCAAGGCAGAGATCTGGCTGCAATCCTTGCTTCTGAAAGGCGACATTACCTGAATCCAGGTTCAGAAATCCCTGCATTTGTGTTCTGGGAAAAGTCTGCTACAGAGAAGCCCCCTCCACACAGGATGTGAATGCCTAGCTGACCTCTTGGTATCCGCTGACCAGTCTGCACCAGATAATGTCTGGACCACACTTTAAGCCCTCTTCTTCCTGACTGCCCTGAACTTTGACCCATAGCCCGAGCCTGCATAGCCCTCTGGAAGGCCTTCTCTCACCTGCTGACCTCAAGGAAATCCCCAGTCAAATCCAGTCCCACACCCACTCCTGTTCCCTTCTTGCTGGCCTCACCCTTCTCTGCCTGACCTTTGTGACTCTTAGAGACCTGTAGTCTTCCTCCTCCCGTACAGTAGCCCTCCCCTCTTTGGTAGTGTGTCCAGGAAGGTCTCCACCTACTGAAGTTCTAGTTTATACTGCATACTTTTTTTAATCTATAGAATGGAGCTGGTAGATGACCTAACTTCCCAATTGTGGTCTTTCAGAAAATAAAAGGAGAATAGACCAGAAAAAAAAAAAAAAAAACAGGAGAGAAGCAAACAGGCAAGCTTGAGCCAAACAGCACATCCAGGGACATCTGTGGTGTGTCTGACCTGGGGTCTCAGTGTGCACAACTTTCTCCTGGGCTGCACACACTTGGCTTGGAATGAGCATGAACCAGGTGTCTTTGCCAGCGGCTGTCTCTTGAAGTCTGTTCATTCTTCTCAGTTGTGGTGAATTTTAAAGCAAATTCTGTATAATATGTCAGGATTATATACCATTGGTTGCAATCACATTTTCTGTGATAAAATTTCTTCAAATTAATAGTGTTTAGCACTATTAATTTTGGAATATATAAGATTCTTATTATGGTTTTTAGCTATTCGTTACTATTTAAAATGTTTTCCCTTAACTATTCTCACATTTTTATAAGTTTGGCACAAACGATGAAGACCCTGAGGCTAAGAAAAAACACAGTGAAATTTTCCTTATATAGGCACTTTACAAATACTCTCATATTTGCTGTGTTGGGTAAGTGATTGACTTTTTCTCATTATGATAAAGCATTTCAATATTTCATGTTCTGTCCTCCAAAGGTGACTTTTTAATGTGTGTTTCAGCTTCCATAGTGTTTATGGTGTGGACAACCAAAACATTTAGAATTGCAAAATGCCAATCAGTAAGTAAATCTTCCTAGTTAAATTTGCCATTAATTTTAGTTATACTATTTTGTGGAATTTTGAAGAATTTAGTTTGTTTACAAATAAAGGTAATTTTGATGGAAAATTTCCTTTTACTTTGAATGATATTGTATAGAATTACCAAGACTTTACCTCTTTTAAATGAATCTGAAAAAGGAATTTCCCCTAAATCTCCTTTTTCTATCATCTAAACTTCTTATATATTTTCAAAAAGAATTTCCTTCCTGTAGTTTAAAATAATAGGAAAGGACTATAGCCGTAACTCAGTGGTAGTATTTGCCTGGGTTCATCCAAGCACAAAAAGTAATAAATAAATAAAAAGACAGGAAAATTTTTTCTCCTTGCATGCATACCATGAAGTTGGGTGGACTTTTGTCTTTTTTTTTTTTTTTTTTTGGTGCTTGGGATTGAATCCAGAGACTTTCGCATGCTAAGCCCACACTCTGCACTGAGTTACACAGCAGCCCAGGTCTGTGTCATGGTGGGCTGGAGTCCTTAAGCCGGGCGTGTGTCTGTGATGGTGTTTTCAATGTGAGCCTTCAGGAGCTGCTCCCGATGAGTGTTTTAGTTGGAAGAAAATGCCTTTCTCAGACTTGCAATGTGAAAGACCCTCTTTTAGGGGTCTCTTGAGATTTGGAGCTAGTCTCTAGTTCTGCATAAATAATCACAAAGTGCCCCCTCAAGTCCTGAGCTGCTGCTGGCTTAAGGACAATGTAATGAAATAAGAGGTAACTTTTTTCTTTCTTCCCTCATCTTAATATTTTATACTCAAAGTTCTAAGTGTATTTTTAGGATCTTTTGTTTTCTAAATCTTTCTGTTCACCCTAAAATTTCATGGAAAGGCATGAAAGAGAAAGTAGCCCTTTATAAACACTTCAAACAATATAGGTTGCTTAAAAAATAGGCACTTGTTTATTTGGAAGACTTACTTGTTGGAGAGATGCCATTAGTCCTCGTCATGGTGCACTGTTTGGATGGGAAATCTGTATGTTTATCAGAAAATTAACTTCTCCTGTTTGACGTGTTCTTCTTGTAGGACTGGATGGAACTCTGGGTGGATGAGGCCTTTTGGAGCTTCCTGTTCTCACTTATCCTTATTGTAATAATGTTTTTGTGGAGACCATCGGCAAATAATCAGAGGTACCTAGCATACGTAGTTGAAGTTGGCAGGCATTTGTTGACCCCTCCTAGAGTCAAAAACACTTTGAGAAACTGGGGAAGTAGTCTTTGCTTTTAAGCGGTATATAGTCAAGTGGGGCGACAAACATAAAAAATGCGAGACAGTGAAATAAGAGGTGTGTAAACCAGTCCAGAGGGGAGAGGGACGAGGACGATACCAGGAAGAGGCATGCTGCTCCTTTAGGAAAGGAGCAGACGGTGGAGGATTGAGCTGGGGAAGAATGTGCATCTTCTGGGTGGGGGAAGGCGAATCAGACAGTTTGGTCAGAATTGAGGTTGAGTGTCTCCTCTCTCTTTTTTCTGTTTTCACATGGTACTGGGCTTGAACTCAGGCCCTCATGTGTGCTAGGCAAGTGCACTATCACTGAGCTACAGCCCAGATGAAAGGTTGAGTATCTCTTATCCAACACGCTTGGGACAGGAATGTTTCAGATTTTGGATTTTTTCAGTTATTAAGCATTTGCATAGATTTTACCAGTTGAACTTCCCTAACCTGATTATCTGAAATCCAAAATCTGAAACTTTCTGGAGCACTGACATGATGTTCAGAACATTTTTAGATCTTTGGATTTGGGGTGCTCCACCTGTGCTTGTAGGGGAGTAAAGCTGGAAAGGAAGGGTGGGACCAGAGTGGTGCAGGCTTCAGTGCCACGTTCAGAAACTCATGCCTTGGGCTGCAGTGACGGGAAGCCCACTTCCTGCCTCACCTCTCAGCCTAAGGAAACAACTATTATATTCCTTGTCTGTCCTTCAAGGAAAAAAGGAAAAAGTATGTGTGTTGCTCTCCCCCTTTTAAAAATGGCAGTCATACACACATGGCTCTGTTTCACACCTTTTTGTGTAAGACGTGTCTTTCCATGTTGTCATTTGTAGGTCCAGTACTTTTTAAAAACTTTTTGTTACTGGGGATTGAACCCAGAGGTGCTTTACTACTGAGCCACATCCCTAGCCTTTTTTACTTTTTGATACAGGGTCTCACTAAGTTGCTTAGGCTCTCACTGAGTTGCTGAGGCTGGCCTTGAACTTGTGATCCTCCTGCCTCAGCCTCCCAAGCCACTGGGACTGCAGGCATGCGCCATCATAGCTTACCACATTATTTTTTAAAGGCTCTATGGCATTCCACAGTATGCATACAGCAGTTTATATAAGCAGTTCTCGTTATTAGACATTTTGTCTTTAGACTTTTGCTGTTATCAAGAGCAAGAATGCTGTTGGACATCTGTCTGGGTAAACTCTTGTTAGTGGAATGAATGGCAGGTGGAACTGTGATAGCTAGTACCAGAAGGTCTTGGGGAAAGGAGGCTTTGATTAACCCCCATCAGCAGGATGTTTGCGTCCACGAAAGTGTGACTCCACCAGGGGTTTTATTTTCACCAGTCAGACTTTCTCTTCATTAGGGGACAAGCTGGAAAGCTGCGGGCAGGAAGGAGAACCTTGCGGGGAGACAGAAGTACTGCAGGGCATAACCTGCTTGAGCGCATAGATTGTATAGATTGTGGAATTGCTTTCCAGAAAGATTTTATCCACTTCTACTTTCACCAGCATAGCTTCACGGTGATTCTTGCTGACTCGAGAATAAAATAATTAAAATTTACATTTCTTATTAAAGAACCTTTCAAGATGTAGGGTTTTTTTTTTTAATTAATTTACTTTTTTTATACTTTTATTTTATTTATTTGTTTGTTTGTTTATTTATTTATTTTTATGTGGTGCTGAGGATTGAACCCAGGGCCTCCCACATACTAGGCGAATGTTCTACCGCTGAGCCACAACCCCAGTCCCAAGATGTAGGTTTTTATATATAATGACTACTTTAGATATAAACTAAAAATCGAACAGGTTTAAGCACACTAGTGACACTATCCTCCTTCTTTATACAGATATGCATTCATGCCCTTAATAGATGATTCTGATGATGAAGTTGAAGAATTCATGGTAACGTCTGAAAATTTAAGTGAGTGTTATGTTTTCTCTTTAAGTGACGGTTGTATTGCTGTAGCAGGTCAGATCCTTCCCTGATGTGATACATAGCCACATGCATCATTTTAAATTCTCCTGTAAATATTTGTAAACATTATCTAAAGGAACCCTTTCTTATGATAGGCGCTCATAAAAAGAAAAGTCAGCGATTAAATTTGGGGATTGCCAAATGTAGTTGGAGCCTTTATTCCTTATTTGCACTTAAAGCATTACAGTGGGCACATGGTTCTCACATCGTGTTCCCGACGTGTGGTGCTTAGTCTGGAGAGGTGCTGGTCTTACGTGGTGGCTGGGTTTCTGTGCCTTATCTCTTCTTGCTCTTTTAAAAGCATGCACACCTATCGTTTCCCAGTTATTTCCACAGCATGTCTAATATGGTTCCAGTACCATGTCCATTCTCTCTGTTGGTCTCTGCATCACATTTTGCACTCTGGTTTGTCTGCCATGTGCTCTAATGAAGCCCTCAATAAGGCAGCATCAGGGTGTAATTCAGATACTGAGAGTGACTCTACCTGTTCTGTCTTGCTTTCCTCCTGCTTTGATTTCTCTTATTAGTAACATTCTTTCTCATAATTTATTTTGATTCTTGCCTCATTGTCTAAAATTCTTTGAAAATGCCTGGTCAGCAAACATCATAGCATGACCAGCATGCCTCCAGTGCCCCTTCCTTTACCTCTTCTCATCTTCCTCTCACCAGCAACCCACTCTTTCATGGTTTTTTTTGACCCTCCTGTTAAGAAAGTTCAGAAACCTGAAAAGCTAATTCACCATTAAATTATTATTATTAGAATTAATTAAATTATTAGTATTAGAATTCCATGCACTGAAGTTCCAGCTTCCGGAATGATGGGGTGAACTGTAGCGACACACCTTTGTGTTGATGTCTGACCAGTATCGACTCAGTGGACACTGGCAACATGGAGCACTGGAAAGCACTGGAGAGCAACCAAACCCAGAGCAGAACCCGGGCAGTGGCCCTCTTCAGAGTCCCCGTTGACAGAACCTGTCCTGACACATGGCCTCTGGGGACGCTGCCCTGCCCACGAAGGGGGAGTGGAGAGTGGAGAGTGGGGCTGTGCAATGCCTGAAGACCGCAGGGGGAACTCTGTGAAGGGGAGAGCACATGTCTTTCAAGCCTACACTGATGCTGAACTGGGCCTGTGCTGAGCAGGACTCCAGGATGCCAGAGAGGGAGGCCATTTGCCTGAGGAGCAGAGCAGAGATGTGGGGGTTGCCCACTGCGGCTTTCGAAAAGTGAGTCTCAGCAAGTGAAAGGGCTTAGATGAACACCTTGGGCTTTCCTCGAAACCCCTGAACAAACCATGCTCTGGGATCTTCGGTATTCACCTAAAACTAAAGCAGAGCTGGAGAAAACCACCCTACTGAAATCTAGTGAGGTCACCACAGGTCAGTGATCCATGGGAAGTTCAGGAGAGAGGGAACCTGGGAGAAAGGCATAGGAAGGAGAGGAGAAGCGAGAACCAGAGCACTACAACTGAAGATCGAATGTCTGACGTCACTCGCTGGGTTAGATTAACAGGAGATGCGCAGGTTGGACGCACAGAAGGGAAGGGTGAACATTTGGAGACAGATCAAAAGACATAAACTGAAAATTAGAGAGAAAGGCTGGAAACAAAGTGAATGTGACCTGAGTGACCCATGGCCTTATTGAACATTCTGCACGTGCGTAACTGAGCTCCAGAGGAAGAGGGGATGGGGAATAAAAATATTTGCAAAAACACAGAAATGATTAATAACACTAACCCTGGATCGGCAAAGCTCTAATGAGAGGCACAGAGGCAGTGTTCAGAGACCTTAGAGGCAGACTACTGAAAACCAATACAGAGCTTTCAAAAGAAGCCATTGGAAGAAGGTACTTTACACCCAGATACTAGTGACAGCAGACTGGAAGTCTTAAAAAGACAGTGGAATGACATTTTTAAAGTAGTTTTAAAAAATTGCCAACCCTGAATTCTGTATCGACAAAAATATTTTTCAAACATGAGAGTGAAAAAGGGTATTTTCAAGTAAATTAAAGCTCTAAGAATTGGTCATCAGCAGAGCTGGCCTAAGAAAAATGCTAAGGGAAATTCCTTAGATTGAAGAGAAGTAGTATCAATTTAAAAACTAGCTATAAGAGAAACAGAAGGAAAAGTCAATTGATCTTTTGAAGCAAAAATAGTGAAGGTACATTGTGAGGTTTGTAAGATATGCGGAAGTAAAATATATGAATGTCACATGAAGGACAGGCTAGGTGTAAATGAAATCCACAATATGTTACAGTTTCTATGTGCAGAGTAGATTGCGATAGTATGAAACATTTTGGAATCTTTGGAGCATCCAGTTAAAAAGCAGCCAACAGAAGGGATAGAACAGAATATTAAAACAACCCAAAAGAAAATAGGAAGGAAAAGACAGAAGGGACCAACATAAAACAAATTACAGTGTGGTTGATATAAATCTGTTTTAATAATTACATTAAATGCAGGTGGACTGAATATTCAAGTTCAGAGATTGTTAAACTGTTCTTTAAAAAAAACAAAGTGAAATCAGGTTATGGGATATCTGTAGGAGACGCTTTAAAAATAACACCTGGTTGTGAAAAGTGTATAAAGTGAAAAAAGGTGTACAACGAAAACACTAAGCATAGGAGAGTCAGAGTGGGTTCTGATGAAGTACACCTCAAGGCAGAACCACCAGGATTTTAAAAAGCATCTTTTCAGCCAGGCACAGTAGTGAACCCCTGTAATCCCAGTGACTCAGGAGGCTAAAGCAGGAGTGTTGCAATTTTGATGCCATCATCAGCAACTTAGTGAGGCCCTGTCTCAAAATAAAAAAAATACTGGGGATGTAATTTAGCACCCCTGGGTTCAGTCCCCAGTACCTAAACAAATAAAAGTTTAAAAGCATAATTTCTAAATGGTAAAATGTTGAATTTACCAAGAAGCCATAATAATCAAATTTTATTTCACATATTTTAAAGTTACATAGACAAATTTGGTCATAATTATCTATTTGAACATTCCTTTTTCAGTCACTAATAATGCAAGTGGACATATCAGTTATGAGTTGAACAAAGCCTTAATTGACCTGTTCAAGTCCACATTGAAAAAGATAGACTATATATATGGCTTTGAAAAGTCTTTTCAATATTCCCAGAAGGGCTGGTGGTTTAACTCAGCAGTAGAGCACTTGCCTATCATGTATAACGGCCTGGGTGCAGTCCCCAGCACAGCAAAAGCCGAAAATTCAAAGATTGCATTCCTGCGGAGAGGGAACTGTAACCATGATGGAATTAAACTAAGCACTATTGATAGTAGATATCTAAAAAGAATCCAACATTTGGAAGTTGGTAGCACGCTCCTGAGTAACAGGTAGAAGAAATCACAAGTGCTAATCTAAAATGTTTTCTATTAAATGATAAAAATAGCATATCAAACTTTGTGGGACTAGCAAGTCCCCAGAGAACGGATGGCTTCAGTGGCTGGCAGTTTTTACTAAGAAAGGAAGCATGTAAGACTAGTGACTTGTATGTCTAAGAACTAAAAAAGTAAAAAAGAAGGGCAGATCAACCTAGAGTAGTTAATGAAAAGGAAAGGAATTTGAAGGTTAAGTGCCTATATCATGAAATGGAAAGCAGGGAGAACAGAGGAAATCAACAGAGCCCTCCAAAGGGGCTTAGTAGAAACCGCATTTACTGCCATCTATTGTCAATGAGAGAGGGGACAATAAATACCAGTGTAGGGAGAGACTTCCAGTGTTGGGAGCAGTATTTGGGGTACACAGGTAATGTCACCACCAGCTCTGTGGTAGTCAGTGGGCACCTTGAATGGAGTAGACAAAGTCCTTGAAAAAGAACACACAACAAAACTACCCTAATCTTAGTTCTAAACTTATGCCACCAATTCTGAGTAGCCCTTTATCAAAGAAATTTGGTTTATAATTTAAAATCTTCCTAAAGAATACTAGATCCCTGGTGAATCTTTCAAATATTTCATTGAGGAAGAAATATTTCAATCCTATACAAACTCTAGGATGTAGAGGAGATGAGAAACTTTCCAATTTGTTTTATAAAGCCAGCACAACTAAGATGCCAAAATCTTTAAAAATATTAACGAATAAAATCTAGCAAAGTATGGAAAGGCAATCATCATCAAGGGATCTTATCCCAGGGTTGTTAGCCTGTTTTAACATTTTGGAAATCACTTAGTGTAATTCATCATATTAAAAGAACGAAGAGGCCAAGTACAGTGTCGCTCACCTGTAATCCCAGCTCCTGAGGAGGCTAGGCAGGAGGATCGCCAAGTTCAAGGCCAGCCTTGGCCACTTAGTGAGGCCCTGTTTCAAAAAAGTGATAAAAGGAGCCAAGGAGTAGCTCAGTGGTAAAATGCCTCTGGGTTCAATCCCCAGCACCAAAAAAGAAAGAAAAGTATCTCATTAGATGCAGATTTTATAAAAACTAACTCAACAAATTAATTTTGAAATGGCATGAAAAGACATATACAGTAGCCATACTCCCAGGCTGGCGAGCACAAGGGTGCTGGAGAGCAGGAAAGGCAGGGGTGCGGGGGGAGTGTTGAGACTCCTTGTTTGTACACTTAGAAAACCCTGCAGCGTCTGTACAGGTAGAGGAGAATCAGTAAGTAACGACACAAAATCTCACCAGTTGTTTTTCTGTATACTGACTGAAAGCAGGAAAGTTAAATCTTCAAAAGTTAATGCTTCAAAAATAAAATATTTAGGAACAAGTTTATTGAAAAAATGCAAAGAATCTCTGCACTGAAGACCACAAAATAATGCAGAAAGAAATTTTAGGATAAAGAAATACAGAGATCTAACACATCTATGAATTGGAACTTTTGATATTAAACTGTCAGTACACCAAACTGATAAGTAGATTCAGGGCAATCTGAGTCATAATTCTAGCTGACAAAAAAATAGACACAAAGGTTAAGCTGAGGGCTGGGGCTGGGGCTCAGTGGCAGAGCGCTTGCCTAGCATGTGTGAGTCACTGGGTTCCATCCCAGCACCACGTAAAAATAAACAAAGGCATTTGTCCATTTACAACTACAAAAATTAAAAAGGGTTAAGCTGATTTTAAAATGCATATGGAAAAGCAAAAGACCTGAAGGAGCTTAAACCTTCTTGAGTCATGATGTGGATACACCTTGAAAACTCATTAAGTGAAAGAGACCAGTGACAGAAGTGAGCCCACCCACGGGTCAGTTGACTGGCCCAGGCATTGGGGCTTTTATTAGGAGAGGCAGTCTTTTCCACAGAAAGTGCTGGAACAACTGTTGGAACATATGGAGAAGTTACCTGGATGGCTCGCACACATCTAACCATAATTAGTTCAAGGTGGATCACAGACCTAAGAGTAAATCCTTAAATTATAAATCTTCCAGATAAAAACAGATGCTGTCTTCATGACCTTGGATGTGGTAATTTCTTAGTACACAAAAGACAGTAACCATAAAATTTTTAAAAATCAATAAAATAAGCTTCATTGAAATTAAAATTTTATGCTCATCAGTAGAAACTTAAGAAAATGAAAAGACTACCTATAGTGTGTGGGATAAAATATTCTCAATAGATGTACCTGACAGGACTTACATCTATAAGGTAAGAATTCCTGCAAATCAGTCAAAGAAACCCCACTTTGTAAACAGGGACAGGAGACTTGAATGGACATTTCACCAGAGAAGACAGCAGTAGCGTTAAGGTACAGGTACTCCATGTCCTTGTCACCAGGGAAACAGCTCATGCTGTAATACGATGGCACCACACCTCCCTTAGAGGGCTGAAAATACAAGGCCTGCAGCAGCTGGGTGTCTCCTGCACCACTAAAAGGAAGGGAAGGCGGGAAGAGTGCTCCAGAAGCAGCCCCACAGTTTCTTAAAAGCCCAAACTTAGAGCTGTCAGGCAGTCCAGCCATTCCACTCCAAGAGGAAATGAACCAGGTGTCCACAGAAGGACAGGACTGTTTACAGCCACTTGATTATTCCTCATCATTCAAAGCTGGAAATAACAGACCTCTATCAACAGGTGAATGGATGAAGATACTGGGCTGGGGATGTGGCTCAAGCGGTAATGCGTTCGCCTGGCATGTGCGGGGCGCTGGGTTCGATCCTCAGCACCACATAAAAATAAAATAAAGATGTTGTGTCCACTGAAAACTAAAAAATAAATATTAAAAAATTCTCTCTCTCTCTCTCTCTCTCTCTTTAAAAAAAAAAAAAAAGAAAAAAGAAATTCAGTACTATCCAGTAACAGAAGAAATTCAATACTATCCAGTAATATTCTATACAGGAGTGAATCTAAGAACTTTACACTGCACAAAAATACCCAAATCTAAAAGAGCATAGATGGTAGTTCTGTATATGACATTATAGGAGAGGCAAAAGGAGCCACATGATCTTCTCAGAACAGGATTGCTAGGATTGATTGGAAAGGAACATAAAGAACCTTTTGTGATGTATTCAATGTCTTGATTGGGATGGTAGTTACATAAGGTTATGTGTTTGTCAAACCTCTTTAGTCTGTACACTTAAAATTTGTGTATTGTTATATAAGTGTACCTCAATTTTTAGGGATTTGCATATTGTACCTCTTAAAGAAATGCTGGAATTTACAGTGCCCCATGGAAACATTTTTTAGATTCTAGAACTTCATCTAATTTCATTATATCATCTTACACTGTTTTTTTATTAATATATTTTTTACTCGTCGATGGACTTTTTTTTTTTTTAACGAGGTACTGAGAATCGAACCTAGTACCTCACACATGCTAGGCAAGTGCTCTACCACTGAGCTACAACGCCCCCATTTTACACTGTAGATCTCACAATAATGTACCAGTTGTCCTAGATTATGGAGAAGCAATATTTGTAAATTACTGTAATAACAAATGTGAATTCTTACTGGGCATAAGTAAGTATTTGTGTGTCAGGTACTTTTTATGTGCTAAGTTGTGTAATGCTCCCAGAACTCTATGAGAGAGAGAGACATTGTAATCCTCATTTTAGAGTTGGAAACACCAAGTCATCGATTTACCCAAGGTTACATAAGAAGCGCCAGATTATAAGTGAGACAGTTTAGTTCAAGATCCAAGCTCTTGACCTTTGCCACACTGAAACTGCTGACATAAAGAAGAATCTAGGTCATATATGAACAAAATGTTTTTCTTCCTCATCTTATTTCTACCATAAGCATGTTCCAACAACTTATTTATCAGCAAAGTAAAAATACCCAAATGTGTGTTTTATTCTTGAACATGATGCTGCAGATTCTACAGACGTCCAAGTCCGGAAACTGAAGTGTATTGACAGGAAATAACGCGAGCGTGTGCGCGTTGCACTCTAAAGCTAGGTTTCAGACTAGCAACTTGTACCTGGTTGTTCTGTTGAACAGTTGTCAAAAAAACCCAGCCTGGAGGACACTGTGAAGTGAAATCCGCCCGGGCAGAGGTCACACCACGAGGCCTCACTCACAGGAGAAAGCTAGAAAGGCTGGTCCTGCAGGGGTGGAGAGTGGGCTGAGGTTGCTGGAGGGGAGGGGAGGTTGTGGACGGCTGGTTAACAGGTGCAAACTACAGGCAGGTGGAGGGAGTTCCGGAGGGACTGCAGTTGGCCACAGTCACTGCGTGTTTCACAGTGGCTAGAAGAGAGGACACCAGTGTGTCCAGCAAAGAAATAGTGACTGTCTGAGAGCATAGATGTACTTGTCACTCTGGCCGATCACAACAAATTATACACGTGTATTGAAATGTCCCTGCCATCCATAAATATACATTATATCAATTATTGAAAACTATTAACTTTTTCCATAACTCTTTCCTATATCTTCAAATGGCATAGTAAAGCTAGCACTCTGCTCAGAGTTTCCACTGTTAACTTTCCTTTAGGGGAAAAAATCCTTTTTCTTAATGGGTTATTAAATGTGAAGTAATAAAGGAAAATATTATTTTATAATTTACATATATGTATAATGTTTCTCTTCACAGCTGAAGGAATAAAATTAAGAGCCTCAAAAACTGTTTCTAATGGAGCAGCTAAACCTGCTACTTCTGATAATTTTGTGAGTATAGTATATATTTAATAGAATCTCAGTCTTTAATGCTTCAGAATCTGTGAGTGTGCTATTCATTGATTCTCAGAACAGTTTCAGCCATGGTTTTTGATGTAACTGTTACCATATGGCAATACTAGTTCAGGCCCATAACTATGATACTTGTCAAAAGTGCTGTCCTGGGGCCAGCAGCAATGAGCATCACCTGGAGCTTTTAGAAATTCAGAGTCTCAGGCCTGCCCCAGACCTGCAATGCTGAATCTGCTTTCTAACAAGATTCCATGACTGATTTTGTGCATTAAAGATTGAGAAGTAGGGGCTGGAGATGTGGCTCAGTCAACAGCGTGCTTGCCTGGCATGCGCGGGGTGGTGGGTTCGATCCTCAGCACCACGTAAAAATAAAAATAAAGATGTTGTGTCCACCGAAAACTAAAAAAAAGATTGAAGCTTTTTATAATTATAAGTTGTGTTGAATTTTCAATGTATTAAAGTGATTCTTGAATCCATCTTTTTTTTTAACATTTATTTTTTAGAAGTAGTTGGACATAATACATTTATTTTGTTTATTTTTTTATGTGGTGCTGAGGATTGAACTCAAGGCCTTGTACGTGCTAGACGATTGCTGTACCACTGAGCCACATTCCTAGCCCCTCTTGAATCCATCTTAATAGCATGTGTTATCTGTTGAGAAAAGAATTGTGTGTTATATGCAGTTAGCAAAATCAATAGATTTTTAAAAAATGAACTATGGAAGTTTGAATAAAATGGTATGATATATAATAGGGATATTTTGTGCATAAAAGTAATGATTTTGAAGATAAGCAGGTTTACACTCTTAGAATTATATCGGCTACAGATAATACTATGTAAAAAAATGCATATGCATATAAGTTCTAACAGGACAGATGATGTATGAAAATGTTCTCTGTTGGATTTGGTAAATTCTCTGATTTTTATATTTGGTAATTTTTTAATCCTTTAAAATATGTTCTTTGAGTAGTTTCATGGCAATTTAACTAAGCATTCAAAATATACTATAGTTTTCTTCATCTGGTGTTAGAACTACAGAGTGAACATCAGTAAGCCAAACATTCAAAATCTAGAATACTCCAAAGCAACTGTGACACAAATGGAAAAGTCCACACCATCACACTTTGTTTCATGCTCAAAATTGTTAACAAACATTGTATGAAGTTACTTCAGGGCTGGTGTATAAAGTGCATACAAATCGTAAATGAATTTGGTGTTTGGACTTGGTTCCATCTCTAAGCTGTCTTATCATGCATATGCAAGTATCACAAAATCTGAAAAGTCTGAAGTCTGAAACACTTCTGGTCTCAACCATTTTGGATAGGGATACTCAACCTGTATCACAATTTCAAATTTCTTAGTTTTTTTCTATTTTAGTTATGTATCTCAGTGTATTTTTAAATTCATTATTTGCAAACATAGCCAGTCCTGATGGTGCACACCTGTAATCCCAGCAAGTTGGGAGGCTGAGGCAAAAGGATCACTGACTCATTTGAGGCCAGTTTGGGCAACTTAGTGAGATTCTGTCTCAAAATAAAAATTAAAAAGGGTGGGGCTAGGGCTGGGATTGTGGCTCAGCGGTAGAGCGCCCGCCTAGCGCATGCGAGGCCCTGGGTTCGATCCTTAACACCACATATAAATGAATAAATAAAAACAAAGGTATTATGTACAACTAAAATAAATAAATATTTTTTTAAAAGGGTGGGGCTAGTTCAGTGGTAGGGTGCCCCTGGGTTCAATCCCCAGTACCACAAAGAAAGAAAGAAAAGTTTTTGCAAATGTGTTAAGAAAATAGTTTTTCATTTCTGTAAGTTAAGTGCGGTCGGGGCTCGATCAGAGATTGTGGGCTTACTCTCACTGGTCTATTTCTGCTCAAGACCCACTCAGAGAACAGGGTTCCTATTCATCCTGGCTATTGCTTTGTCTCTCTGTTGGTAAGCATTTCATGTAGCCAGGTAGATAATGAAGAAAATTTTGATTTGTTTTACATTATAAAATAAAATATTCAGTATTCCTTATATTTTCTCTTCTCTCTGAAATGATTATGAGCAAGTTCCCATTTGGGAAAAACTGTAGCTACCCCAGCCGGCCTGCTTCTTTTCTGGTCTCTCTAGGGATGTGAGCATGTGCACAGTGACACTTAGTCGTTGCTAAGGTAGATTATTTGGCCCATCATCCTTTTCTGTTGAAAAATTATTAGCTCATCAGAACTTTCGGGGGGATGGGGAGTACTGGGGCTCTAACCCAGAGGTGCTTTACCACTGAGCTACATCCCCAGCCCTTTTTATTACTTGAGACGGGGTCTCACTAAGTTTCTGAGACTGGCCTCAAACTTGATATCTTTCTGTCTCTGCCTCCAAGTTGCTGGGAGTACAGCTGTGTACCACAACACCGAGCTAATTCATAAGAACTACAACAAATAAGGAAGCATCAGAGTGTGGAGAAGGAAAAAAAAAAACAATGCAAATCATGCTCTTGCTGTTTTCTATCATATATATCAACTTTGTTGTATTGTGGTTTCTTAGGACAAAACAATAACATGGATATATCTGACTAAAACCAAGAAGTGAAAAAACCTGAAATCAGCATTTTATTTGCCTATTTATGAAACCACTGTCTTAACTTCTGTGTGGCATATGTACCAACTTATTAGGACATAGCAACTAAAAGAATGTCATGGATTTGAACTTGAATATTTACACATTTATCCTTCTAAAATATTCTTTCAAGTGATATTAAGCAAATGCTAAATATAAATATTTATTTCTACAGGATGAAGATTTGAAGTGGGTGGAAGAAAACATCCCCTCTTCATTCACCGATGTGTAAGTATTCTCTGTTACAGTCTTAGTGTAGGCTGTGGTTTAAAGGGTCATTCTGCTGTCTCGTGCTTCTCAAACCTCACCGCTCCATGGGTTTTGTGGGCTCCTCGCCTGGACATGGCTGTTTATTTCTTAAGAAAAATCAACAAAAACAAAGTTCTGGCTTAGTTTCTCTTTCCTTTTTTCACTGAATAGGAAGTTTAATACCAGTGACCTGTGACAAATGCCCACTTTTTCTGATCTAGTTATCAGTATCATTATTTTGACTTAATTTTTGTGATGGAAAAGTTCAAACTCATGTAAAAACTTTTTATGAACATAACTCACAACACCGAGTATCATGGGGAAGCTTTTGGAGGAATGATGTGACCGTGGAAAAAGTAATCCATAGGAATCCCTTTGGGGAATTTTGAGCTGTTGACATTCCTCTATATCTTTGTCCTGTTAACACGAGAATTCCACATAGCCGTTTCCCCAGTCAAGACAGGACAGCCAAGCATGGGGATGTTTCCTCATACTGTTCTGTCTCCGCTGCTCCCATCTGTCCCTCTCAAACAGTTCTGTCTGGTCTGATATTCCCTTTACCTGAAGAGTGTCCTATTTCTTGTAATGCAGCTGTGCTGGAAGAGAATCTGTCAAATTTTTGTTTATCTGAATAAGTCTTTGTTTCTTTTTTTTAACAGTATTTTTCTAGGTATAGAATTCTTGGTTGATAATGTTTTTCTTTTAACACTTTAAATGTTGTCACTTGCATGTCTTCTAGGTTTCAGAGTTTCAGAAAAAGTCTACTTTAGTTTTTTTCCTTGTTCCTTCATGTTATATGGGTTTTGTTTGGTGGTTTTAGTTTTTGTTTTTGGTAGCCCTAGACTTCCTCTTTAGTGTGTTTTTAGAATATGATGACTGTGTGTGTGTGTATGTATATGTGTGTGTACACATAGATTTCATTTGTCTTGGCTATATACCTAGAAGTGAAATTGATGGATCGTGATAAAGTAGTGTTCAGCATTCTGAGAAATGGAAAGCTGCTGTGTTATTTTACATTCCTATTAGGGATATATGAAGGTAACAGTTTGTCTGTGTCCTTGCCAGTGCTTGTTATTGTTCATATTTTTTATGTTATCTCTTTCAGTGGCTATGAAATAGCATTTCATTTTGCTTTGAGAGATTGATGTTATTTAAACTTTGGTAATTGAAATTGATGCATATCAGGTCTATGAAAAATAGGAACTACAACCAACTATTATATTTTTTCTTTTAACAGAAAAGAAAATGTGTATATATTCTTTTATATTTACTTACGTATTTAGTATTTCTTCTTCCTAACATGAAACATGAGCTAAGAGCCTTCTCCTATGGGTCTCTATTATTCCTTACAGTATGGGTTTGCTGGCAAAAATTCTGTTTTATTTATATGAAAATATTTGTTTTGCCTTCCTTTTTAAAGGATGGTTTTGCTGGATATAGAAATCTCTGTTGACTTTTGAGCACCTTCATGACTTTCACATTGTAACTTTAGCATATTGACTTCCTTCATCTTTAAGCTCTACCACACATCAAGGCTTGGTTAAGCTTGCTGAACATTTTTATACATGTGTCTTTTCTTTTTATACATACTGTCTCTCCTAGGCAAAGGATATAGGTCTTTTATTTTTCCTTTTTTTTTGGTACCAGAGATTGAACTCAGGGGCACCTGAACACTGAACCACATCCCCAGTCCTATTTTGTATTTTATGTAGAGACAGGGTCTCACTGAGTTGCTTAGTGCCTTGCTTTTGCTGAGGCTGGCTTTGAACTCGCAATCCTCCTGCCTCGGCCTCCCAAGCCGCTGGGATTACAGACGTGTGCCACCACACCCAGCTATTTTTCCATATTTTTTTATCGGCACATTATAGTTGTACGTAATGGTGGGATTCGCTGTTCTATATTCATACATGCACACAATATAACAATATAATTTGGCCAGTATTATTCTCAGTAAGTCCCGTTTCCTCTCCTTCCCCTGCTCCCTTTTCTTTATTGATCTCCCTTGCACCTTTATTTTTTTTTCCTCTCTTGTTTCCTTGTATGAGAGAAAACACACTACCCTTGACTGATTTGTCTTTTGTTGCTTAATATAATCTTCTCAAGTTCCATTCCATTTTCCTGCAAATGACATAATTTTATTTTTATTTATGGCTTAATAAAGCTCCATTGTGTATATATACTACATTTTCTTTATCCATTCATCCATTGAGCAACACCTAGGCGGGTTCCATAGTTCAGCTGTTGTGCTACTATAATATGGGTAAGCACGGATCACTGTAGTATGAACACTTTAATTCTTTAGAATAAATAATGAGGGGGCTGGGGCTGTAGCTCAGTATAGAGCGCCGGCCTCACATATGTGAGGCCCTGGGTTTGATCCTCAGCACCACATAAAAATAAATAAAGATACTGTATCCAACTTCAACTAAAATATATGTGTGTGTGTGTGATTTTTTTAAAGAATAAAAAACAGGAATGGTATAATGAGCTATAATGAGCTCCTGTTTCTCCACATTCTTTCCAGCATTTATTGTTTGTATTCTTGATGGCTGCCATTCTAACTGGAGGGAGATGAAATGCAGTGTAGTTTTGATTGTGTTTCCCTAATTGCTAATGATGTTGAACATTTTTTCATATTTTTGTTGGCCATTTATGTTTCTTTTGAGAAGTGTCTCTTTAGTTCTTTTGCCCATTTATTAATTGGGTTATTTTGGGGGTGTTAAATTTTGAGTTCTTTGTACCATCTGAATATTAATTCTCTATTAGAAGAGCAGCTAGCAAAGATTTTCTCCCATTCAGTAGGTTCTCCTTTGCCACGCAGAAACTTTTTAATTTGATGCCATCCCTTTATTAACTTGGCACTATTTCCTGAGGTTAGGGGTCTTATTGAGAATGTCATTGGCTGTGTCTACACGTCAGTGCTGACCCTACATTTTCTTCTAGGAGTTGCATAGTTTCTGGTCCAGTCCTAGGTCCTTGATCCACTTTGTGTTTTCTTAAGTGCAGGTTAAGTGCCGGTGATCTAGTCTCATTCTTCCACATATGGATAACTAGCGTCCAGCACCCTTGGTTCTTTTCTCCAGTGTATGGTTTGTCAGGAATCAGATGATTTTATCTGTGTGGGTTTGTCTTCTAGTCTGTACCATTGGTCTGTGGCTGTTTGGATGCCAGGACCATGCAGTTTTTGTCACGGTAGCTCTGTTGAATTCAGCTATTTTGATTCCTCTACCATGGCTTAGAATTGTTTGGCTATTCTGTCTCTTATTCTTTCAAATTAATTTTAGGACTTTTTTTCTAGTTCTGTGAAGAAAGCTGGTATTTTAATGAGGATTGCATTGAATTGGTTTATTATTTTTGGTTATATGTCCATTTTAACAATGTTAATTTCTGCCTATCCAAGAACATGGGAGGTATTTCTATCTTCTAAGAACTTCTTCAGTTTCTTTCTTCAATGATAGTTTTTATTGTAGAAGTCCTTCATCTCCATGTTTAGATTTATTCCTAGGTATTTTTTTCCTGATTTCTTTTTCAGCAGATTCATTATTGGTGTTTAGGAAAGCTGTTGATTTTGTATGTTAATTTATACCTGCTACTTTACTGAATTTGTTTGTTAGCTCTAGAAGTCTCTTGGTGGGGCTTTTGGATCTTCTACGTAGAGAATCCTATCATCTGCAAACAGTGGTAATTTTACTTCTTCCTATCTAATTCTTATTCCTTTTATTCTCCTCCCTTGACTAATGCTTCGACTAGAATTTCTAGTGCTATATTGAATAGGAGTGATGAAAGTGGACATCCTTGTCTTGTTCAGATTTTAAAGGAAATGCTTTGATTTTTTCCCCCTTTTACTATGAAGTTAGCTTTAAGGGGGTTTGTATATAGCCTCTGTAATGTTGAGGTCAGTTCTTCTATCCCTAATATCAGTTTGTTGCTTTCTCTGTATCTTTTGAGATGATTGTGATTTTTTTATGTCTTTATTTCTATTCATGTGGTGAATTAATTTGTTGATTTGCATGTATTAAACCATTCTTGCATCCCTGGGGGGAAAAAACTTGAGCATGACACACAATCTTCTTAATATGTTGTTGAATATGATGTGCTAAGACTTTTAAAGGATTTTTGCATCTAAGTTCATTAGGGAAGTTGATCTATAGTTTTCCTTCCTTGATGTGTCCTTATCTGGTTTTGGTATGAGGGTGATCCTGGCTTCATGAAATGAATTTTTGTGTTCCAGCCCTTCCTAGTTTATGGAATAGTGTGAGGAGAATTGGCATTAGTTCTTCCTTAAAGTACTGGTAGAATTCAGCCGAGAATCCATCTGGTTGTTGGCTTTTCTTTGTTGGAAGACTTTTTATTACTCTTCTGTCTTATTTCTAGTTGTGGGTCTGTTTGGGTTTTCTCTGTTCTCCTGATTCACTTTTGGCAGGTTGCATGTGTTTAGAAGTGTATTCATTTCTTCTAGGTTTTCCAATTTATCGGAGTTTTCAAAAGAAATCTCTAATGATCTGAATTTCTATGATGTCTGTAGTGATTTCTTCCTTTTCATCTCTAATTTTATTAATTTCGGTCTTTTGTTTTGATTTTGGTTATTTGGCTAAGGATTTATCAATCTTTTTATCTTTGTTTCACTGATCCTTGTATTTTTCTTAATTTTCAATTTCATCGATTTCAGCTCTGATCTTAATTATTTTCTTTCCTCTACTGGTTTTGGAACGGGTTTATTTTTCTTTTTCTCAAGGACCTTGATTTTCTCACATGGCCCTCATAGCTGTAAACCTGCCTCTTACCAACTGCCTTTGGAGTGTCCCAGGGTTCTGGTGTGTTGAATCAGGATTCTCATTCGAGTCTAGGATTTTTAAATTTTTTAATGTTTCCCCTGATTTCTTCTATCACTGATTCATCATTCAAAAGTGTTTTGTTCAATCTCTGTGTGTTCATGTAGTTTCTATATGGTTTTTTTGGTGTTGATTTCTATTTTCTTTCCATTATCATCAGATAAAATGTAAGGAATTATATCAGGGTTTGTTTTTTTGTTTTTGTTTTTTAATTTCCTTAGTTGCCTATGGCCTAAAATATTATCTGTTTTGGAGACTTTTCCATGAACCCCTGAAAAGAAAGTGTATTTGTCAGATGAACTATTCCATAGATGTCTGTGGAGTCCATTTTACTTCTAATATTTTACTGAGTTTCTGTCTGGATGACTCTGTGTGGTAGTGAGAGGTGTGCTGCAATCACCCAGGATCATATATGCGGGGTCTCACTGAGCCTTAATTTGAGTGGTGTCTGTTTTATGTGATGAGGTGCACCCACCTTGAGGCATAAATGCGTACCATCGAAGTGTTTTCTTGTTAAATGTTTCCTTTGCCAGCGTGGTGTGACTGTGTCTTCTGATTAGCTTGGTCTGTCTGCTGCGTCATGTGAGAGTATCGGCTCCTGCCTGTCTGTAGCTTTCCTGAGCATGTCCAGGCAGCATGGGAGACTCTCTCCAGCACCTTTCCCAACGTGTTGACCCTTTGCCCTAAGAGAGCACTAACACACGTGAGAGGAGTGTTCTGACTAGATGGCAGATCACCACTCGGGTAGTTTCCCAGCTGTTCAGAAAAAAACATAGCAAGGAAGTGACAATAAATCTGAACTTGGATGTCAGTCATGTTTGGAATTACTCATTTGTGTATTTTTAGTCATTGATATTTCTTCACCGTATTAAGCTCTAGGATTGCTTATCTTATATTGAACCCAGGGCCTTGTACAGTTTCCTTTCTGTTTTAGAAATAGCCTGTGGTCCACTTCCTTTCTGAAGTTAAGATTATTCAAATTTTTCAGTTAAACTTTTGACAAAACAGTTTTTTGTTTTGTTTTGTTTTGTTTTTGGTACTGGGGTTGGAACTCAGGGGCACTCAATCACTGAGCCACATCCCAGCCTTCTTTTGTATTTTATTTAGAGACAGGGTCTCACTGAGTTGCTTAGCGCCTTGCTTTTGCTGAGGCTGGCTTTGAACTCGAAATCCTCCTGCCTCAGCCTCCCGAGCCACTGGGATTACATATAGGCATGTGCTACTGTGCCTGGCAACAAAACAGTTTTTAAAGGAACACACATTCCGAAAAGTGCTCATATCCTAAGTAAGTGTATAACCCACTAAATTTTTTAAATGAGTACATTTGAGTAATCAGCATCCAGATCAAAAAGTGGAACATGACTAAGCCCTAGAAGCCCATGTTCCTTTCCACATAGAGGGCCACCTTCCCATAGGTTCTGTCGTCCCAACATCTGAAACTGTAGAGCCTGTTCATTTTTAAAATTTTCTCCCTCAGTAGCTCGTCCATCTTCTTGGCTGTATGGTATTCCATTGTTTGAACATGCCAGTTTCTCCAGCTGGGCTGTTTCTAGCTTAGGGCTGTTGAGCACAGTGCTGCTATGAAAACCCTCCTCCTCGTCTGCTAGGGAACCTGGGTGTCTCCGTGTCTCAGCTGAGCGTCTGCAGTGGGAATTGTGGACCACAGGCTATTTCTATATCATTTTTCTAGATTCATTGGCCTACTTTTAATAACACTGTCACTTTTTTTTTTTTTTAGAGCACTTCCAGTGTTGGTGGATTCAGATGAGGTAAAATATGTTTTTGCTTATTTCCTTAGAGCTGGTATTGTCACAAAATAGAAATGTACTTCTGAAAGTCGCTTTTTAAAATGAGTATGGGTTGAAGAGACAGAAGGACATTACGAATTGACTTATGATGAGGCGTAAAGGACTTCTGGGTGAGGTCCTCCTTTAGCCAGAAGCAAGATTAATGCTTGTTGGTAGGAAAGAAGAGGGGGGTCTCACTTTATGAGACGTTCAGTGAATGATTCACTAAACCCATTTCTAGATAGGGTTGAGAGGATTTGAAGGGGCAGCTTAACCTCTGACGCTGTGCATATTTTGTTGGGGTAGTAAATAGTGTTTCTGTTTGGTCTCCTCATTCTTCACTTACCAAGCAGGAAGTCTGCGTCAGGGGTATGGCCTAGGAAGTTCAGGGGGAGGGTTGGGGTCACAGGATGTTGAAGGTTGCCTCAAGTTTGAAGTGCCAGAATGAAGGCTGGAGGGGGGAGGCCAAGTTCAGGTGGCTGTGGGAGATGAGCTGCTGCTCTGTGTTCACTGAGATGCAGGAAATAACTTTGCATCAGTGTCATTCGGGTTGGCGGCAGGGGAAAGTTTGAGAAGGCTGTAACTTCAGGCCTTAGGACTCTGCTGAAAGACATGCCTAGAATTACTTTAAGAAGATGTTTGAATTATTCACTTGATGGCAACTGATTCGTGATCTCAAAAAGACCTGGATTCCGTGAGGCCAGGCAGATCCAGGCAGATCCCGGTGGGCTGTGCTGCGATCCGCCAGCTCCTGCCTCCTCTCCCGGGGCTCTGAGCTTGTGTTTTCTGGGCAGCCGAGGGCTGGTGCTTTGTGGCCATCAGCAGATCCCTGGGCATTCTGAGTGTGTGTGGACTGTACTTTCACTATCTACATCTGATACTTTCCCAACATGGAAAATGTAAATCGTGATTTTTGAAAGATTAAAAAATTCCATCACAGTCTTGGAAGCAGCATTTTGACAGTTTTTCTTCTCCCCCCAGGAAATTATGACCAGATCTGAAATAGCTGAAAAAATGTTCTCTTCAGAAAAGATTATGTGATCGGAATGAGTATAAATAAAACCAAGGTCACGGCCTCAGACTGTGATGGGTGGGAGCTTGTTAGGGGGCAGCCAGCAAGCTCTGTTCCTGCTGCCCTGGACATCACACGATAAAGGAAGGACTCAGTGGAGGCTGTGCGTCCTCGACAGCTGACTTCTCTGTGTCTGCCGGAGTGAGTGGCTGGACTTGGAAGTCATCTGAGAAGAGCACGAGGAGGAAGCCGTGTGCACAGACGCCTGCTGGTGACGTGCCAGCATCGGATTGGGGTTCTCTCTTTTCTCTGGAAAAAAGGATCATTCCAGGTTTCTTTAAATTATATAAAGTCTCCTGCTGTTCTTTCTATTCACTTTGAGATAGATAATGTGATTCTTCTGAAGTATAGCGTGTCTGTGTCCCCATCTTTGGGATTTATAATTACTAGAAGCAGTAATGATTTTTTGTTTTACTTTTATACTGAAGTGACTTAACATTGGAATGTGGGCATGTTGATATGTCTCATTTTGCTTTTTTTTTTGGTCTGCACAATGCCATTGTTTGTGAATACCACCATGAGCATCAGATCATGGAGTTAGGTAGGTCTTCTCTGAGCTCAGGGGAACACATGTGCACAAAGAGAAAAGTCTTAAGGGTTCCTTCCACAGATTTGCTCTGCCACTGCCCCACCTTGGGCCACGGGTACGCGAGCTACTGCTGAATCTGCTGGGCAGGTGGTGGACAGCTGGCCACGTGGTGCCCCACAGCACCTCCTGCCTGGCAGGTTGGGAGGCCCACTACTGCTGAGCCTGGTGGAAACTAGATCTGTGTCTTGTACACAATCTTGGCATCTTCGTCTTATAATAAAGGCACATTGAACTGCAGAGTACATCACTGCTGATCTGGTAATTGCTTTGTTAATCTTCAGCCATGTTTTGCTGCTTATTTGTCACATTTGTTGGTGACATATGGGTTGGCAGGGGGTTTTTTTAGTGTCTTTCTTTAAAATAGTGTGGACATATGCAGTTGGACATAGTGTGATGAAATTGTGAATGTGCCACTCCTTGCATGACCAAAGATAGAGGGCTGGCGACCTGTGAGGCGGTGATGAGGGGCGCATCTCGCCTGTCCTCTGCAGGAGTCCAGCCTGTGAACTGAGAGTGACTTCAGAGCATTTGAGAAGACAGGAAAATCTTGACCATCGCAAACCTTTTTTCTTCACTGTGAAGCCTCAGAATGGTTTCCTTTCCTCTCAGAAGCCTTTCTGACCTGCCTCCTGTGGTCACAAAGGAGGTTAGTAAGAAGACTGCCTTCAGGCAGCAGCTTCTCCTGGGAGGCCTCGCCTCACAGCGGTGCTCAGCGGGGAGCCCTGGCAGGACAGCGTTGCTGGCCCCTCTGGAGACAGGCAGGTTTGCCAAGTGGTGCTCGCTCTGGACACCCTTCCTGGGAGGAGGGGGGCTAGTTGAAGGGTTCTGGTTCCGTCCTTCGCTCAGTTTGTGCCAGGGTGATGGCTGCCCACCGAGTTTCCCAGCACCTGGGTCTGCTCTGGTTTGGGTGCTCTGCCTTTGGCCCAGCTGGTTCAGGACTGGAGGTGTCTGCTGACCTCCTACCCCACGATTTGCGGTGGGTTGACCCCTGACTCGGCACACAGCTGGGGTTGATCTGAGAGGCCGAGTCTTGGGCCTGCAGCCAGGAGGCACGTGAGCATGGTGGGTGGGAGTGGGGGCTGATGGCAGGTGTCACACTGAGGGGAACCAGCCCCCACAGGCCTTGCTGCTGTTCATAGGGACAGTTCTTTCTCCCGCCATGTAGCTCAGCAAGGGCTGAAGGGCAGCCGCTCCTCTGCGCCCTCAGGAGGCAGGTTCCCTCCTGCCGCTGCTGCTGAAGAGCATGTGCAATGTCTGTCCCTCCTGGTGGTGGTGTCATCTGTATTTCTGGGGAGCAGGAGGGGTCTGCTCTGGCACTTGGCTTCCAGGTCCAGGGAGGATGGCGGAATGTCCCCAGGGCGCACAACTCCTTCCTCAGGGCCTCGAGGCCTGGGGCCTGCTCTAGGGGTTATTTTAGGAAGCCTTGGCGAGGCCTAAGGGAAGGGCTCACTTTGGTATGAAGTGTGAAATTTGCCTAAGAGGAAATTTTCATGATTTGAAGTAGATTAAATATCTCCTTTAAAGTGTAGACACTTTATTGCAAAAACTAAGGAAAAATAGCTGATTATTTTATGCCTAGAGGTAATTTTCCCTTACTTTCTTGTAAAGGAAATATTTTTTCTAATCTTTCATATCCCTTCCTCTCTGTATTACAGAACATTAGATTTGCACTACTATAACGTCGACTCAAAGTATAAAAGTGTATAGATAAGTTTGATTTTATATCTTCCTTTTGAAATCGGTCTGGGGAGCCTCCCTGGCTGTCACGCTAGGGAGGTCTCTGCTCCTAGTCCTTGTCTTTTGTGGCAGCAGCAGGAGGCAGCCCTGCCCAGCACCGCCCTGCACGACAGAAGCTTGACACAGGCACGTTTTGAACATATCAGCTGTATGTATGTAAGTGACAGAAGTCGATTTTTTAAGGAAGTGTATGTTATGCCACAGGAACTCATGGCTGGGTTAAGAATCTTCTTTAGAACTAGGAAAGTGTTTTATTCATATATTTGGGGAGAAAGTTTGGGGGCTTAAAAATTGTATTTTTTATATAAAAAACTTAAATTATTCTATAACTTGAAAGAAATTTATTTGAATATAGGACATGACTATTTGAAGGATTTTTGTTTGAAATATTAATGTATTTTTGTGCCTTAAAATTGGTTCTTTTAATAAAATGCTTTCTGAAAGTTTAGATGATTGATGATTGATAATATTTGAACGATAGACTACATGACTCTATAGGAAAAACAGACTTCAGTAGACGGCAGGACTGAAATCCTTCAAAGAGGAGGGATATTCCATTAAACAAGAAACTATTCAACCTCAGTAGTGATACAGAAATGCAAAACAAAAGGTTGGGGGAATTTCTAAAAATCTGGTTAACCTAAATTTACGTTCTTTATAGACATCTGTAAAATCCCTTTGCTATCAAGGTCTGGTGAACTGAGCAGACTCATTAATGATGGTGAGAAATGACTCATTAATGATGGTCTTTGTGAGAAGAAGTTCATGAAGTTTGGATGGTATCAATTTTGGTGATATTTTAAAGGACGGCTCAAAATATAGAATAAAGTTTCCGCACAAGCGTGTATTGTAGTATTCAAGATGAAACTAGAGGCAAGTTTAAATGTGAACAATAGGAAAATTATTGCATTATGGTTTAACTGGCTACTTTGGGGACACTGTGCAGTCATGAAGTTATCACAAAGAATTTATAACAACAGACGACTACGTGTTACTTACATAAAAACAAAATCAAGGATTGAATAGCAGTGAACCAAAGTGGCACTGTGGTCAGTGCTGTTGGGGTTCTACCCCAAAGTGGTCCCCATGTGATCCCAACCCTTCAGAAGACTGAGATGAAAAGAGGCCAACTCTTGTCCTAGCCCAGATGGGCACAGAGGTGGGGAGGCTGGCCTTCCAGGTGGCCCCTCAGGACCCCCAGTTTATTTCCATCCAAGGCCACCATTTGTACCCAGCCAGCGGAAGGAGGAGGGACCGCTCAGAAGGTTCTGGGACTGGAGCAGGAAGTGGCGAGCATTGCTTCTGAGCGGTCCCTTGGCAAAACCTGGTCCTGTGGTCACACCAGACTGCCAGCAGGCAGAGTAGTGCCAGCAGCCCGGCTGCCTCCTTCCTGAGAGGGGGACCCCTGGCCTCCTGCCTTGTGGAGCAGTGGACGGCGGCAGGCCTAGGAGCTTCTCCTGCCTTCGCATTACCTAACTTTCTAAAGCTAAGGTGTGAGCTTTGCCTAGGCTGCATGGGAAAGGCTGTGTGGCTTCAGGTCACAGCTGGATCCCTGAGAGCCCCACCCTGCTGGGACATGTGGTGCAACATGGGGACATTTCTTCAGGGACCTTCTCCCAGCCTGATGTTGGGGGCCAGGACGGGAGCCTGGAGGAGGGCAGGGGCATGTGATGACTCTGGGCCATTCACAGGGCACCAGGCTTAGCCATTGTCCCCACAGGAGAGGCTTAGTAGCCTGCCTTAGGTAACCCACCCAGGAAAGTGACCAGACTGGCCTATTATTAGCAGGAGTCCTCCTTGAAGGATTGTCCTCAAGTCCTGAGGGAAGTGGAGGCTCCATTTACCACGTCCATGTTTGCTTATTGGAGGGTTGATAACGTGTCTGAGGAACCTGGGGCACTGCCCTCCTCGGCCAGCTGACATCAAGGTGGAAGGTGCATGGGAAACCCTCTGAAGTTCAGGTACATCACCTTAAGAATAAGTTGCCCAGAGGTTCCCCATGAGTGATCTGGGCTTACAGCCGAACACCTGGGCTGTGTCACGTAGGCTGGCGTGATAACTCAGATGGGAATAACTTGGGTAGCATTTCCTTAAAATTATTTTGAAGAATAAGAAACTGCAGTTTATATACAGAAAAAAATTCAAAAGCCATCCAGTAGAGGGTGCCAAAGTCATGTCTCCTAGAATTCCTAATCTCGACTCTTTGTCCTTAAATCTTGCCTTTAAAAAAATAAATACAAATATATTTTTTCTTATAAAATGCCATTAAACAGATTTGGGGAGTAAAGAAAATAAACCTTAAAGACATAACTTTTAGGGGCTGGGGTTGTGGCTCAGAGGTAGAGAGCTTGCCTAGCATGAGGCATTGGGTACAATCCTCAGCACCACATAAAAATAAAATAAAAGATATTGTGTCCACCTATAACTAAAAAGTAAATATAAAAAATAGGCTCAGTGAGGTTGTACGTACATTGACATTTACAAACAATAATATTAAAAAAAACATAACTTTTGAAATGTTATAAACTAAACATGTGCGTGGGGTCTGGGGGTGTAGCTCTGTGGTGAAGCTCTTGCCTGACCTCTGCAAGGGCCTGCTTCAAACCCCACCATCCTAAGAAAGAAACTTACAAGCAGCCAGAGAGGTGGGACTGCACCCGCAGGACTGAGGCGCGCATTGTGTGCTGGTCACCCTTGCTGCCTCATTTCCTGTGACCTCATTGTCATTCTAGCCTCCAAATTCAGCTCTTAATGCTGGTGCTCTGCTTTGAGTCCATCAGTAGGGACCTCCTTGGGGTAGAGTGGAGCCCAGAGGGTTAGCGGCAGTGTCTGTCTTACATTGTCCCTACTGAAAATAAAATATCCAATTCCATGAATTTTGGTATCTTTCTTTTTTAAAAAAATAAAGTCTGGGCATAGATGCATCTGCATCCAAGAAATTATTTTAGATATTTATATCAAGAAGGAAAGAACAGGTTGCCTTTTTCACTACCTGTACACTTGGAAACAATATCCTTATAAAAGGCAGTTGCAGATTTCCCCTTCTGACAATGGAGGAGTGCCTCTGTGGGACCTGCCCTTCCCACAGACTGCTCTAGACAATTAGAGTCACAGCTACCTGGAGACAACTGGACTGAGGAGGCCCAGGGCACCAGAGGGAAGGCAAGGCTTGCGTGAAGGAAACTGCAGGCTCCAGTTCACAGGGAAATGAAATCCAGACTTAAAACCGGGTTCACTGGTTTGAAGAACTGGAAGAGCTCAGGAGCAGCACAGGGGCTGGGAAGTACAAGAGGAATTGCTGAAGAAGAATGCTAGCCATGTCCCCAGGGGATGATGGCATTGGGATGGGAGGTCTGGGGAAGGTGATCAGCTGATGAGGGTGGGGCCCTCAGGAGTAGATTAGTGCCCTTATGAGAGATGCCCCTGAACTCCCTGTTCCTTCTGCCATGTGCGGACACATGGGGAAAAGAGCTGCCTGAGAAGGGAAAGCAGGCCCTCGCCAGACAGCACCTGGACCTCAAGCCTCCTGGCCTCCAGAGCTGTAAGAAACACACGCTTGTTGTGAAGACCCTCTCCTTGTTATAGCAGTACACACTGGTCTAACCAGAGCCAAAGCAGGTAAGCACCAAATTCTGGATATAAAATCTTCCCTCGGCTGCATCACGGGCTCTCCCTCAGCTGTGTGTGTTTGGGGATGACTGCATCCATCTCTGGCTGACAAGTGGAACCTGGAGATCTGTTCACACCACAGGAAACAAAACTAGACCTTGATTCCAACCAAGTAAATTGCCTACTAAACAAGAATGTGAGGATGACATCAGAGAAAATGGCAGAATAAAGACCTGAAAGTTTGCCCCTTTATTAGGAAAAAAAAAAAAATGCTCACTGAGACCCTGTCTCAAAATTTAATAAAAATAAGAACTGGCAGCTGGGTGAGGTGGTGTATGTCCATAATCCCAGCAGCTTGGGAGGCTGAGGCAGGAGGATTGTGAGTTCAAAGCCAACCTCAGCTGAAGCCATAAGGGACTCTGTGAGAAACTTGTCTCAGAATATTTTAAAAAGGCTGGGGATGTGGCTCGGTGGTTAAGTACTCCTGGATTGAATCATCCTCTGTACCAAAAAAATAACTCTCAGAATCAACGTTTTTCAAAACTTTAGAAATTAACTAATAGCAATCTGAGGAGCATTTACTCAAGAAAAATGGCTGAACCTCAGTAAGAAGAGCAAACACTGTGGTGTTTTAATATGTCGAGTCCAGAGCTCAGTAGCAGCCTTGAAGAATAATAATGTGCTCAGGACCTGAATGGTTTCAGAAAACAAAATCTTCAAAAATGAATATTGGAATATAACCAACAGAACACTGTCAATGAATTGAACAACTTGGGTGAAATAGAAAAATTTCTAGAAGACACAAATAACTGGAACTGACTCAAGAATAAACAGTCTCAATAGACCCATAATAAGTTATGAGATTCAATTAGGAATTGTTTTTATGACTTCACAGAAGTCCAGGCCCAGATGGCTTCACCACTGAACTCTACAGACATATAAAGAAAATTATGATTAATTATTCAAAAACTCTTCCGAAAAACAGAAGGGGGAACACTTTCCAACTTATTCTATAAGGTCAGTATCACTCTGATGCCAAAACTAACCAACGGCAACACAAGAGGGGAAAATAAAAACTGCAGACCAGTGTCTTGCATTAATTACATGGAAACAAATATCAGCGACATATATACAGCAACACATAAAAAGATTTATACACCTAATACAGTTATCGGTAGATCAGAAAAAACATTTACCAAAATCGAACGCCAAATAAATACTCAACAAACCAGCAAGAAGGCAATTTCCTTAGCATGATAAAAGGCATCTACAAAAAAAGAAAAAAAAAAACTTCATAGTTAACATGATACTCAAAGAAAAAAGACTGGCGCTCTCCTTCTGCTGAGGTCTGAATGTTTGTGTCTGCAATATTATGATGAAATCTCATCCCCAGTGTAGCAGTATCAAGAGGTGAGGCCTTTACAGGTAATTAGATCCTGAGGGTGGAGCCTCATGAATGGGATTAATGCCCTTGAAAAGAGGCGCCTCTTCCACCGGGGAGGACACTGCAAGCAGGTACCATCCTGGAGGCAGAGTTTGAGCCTCACCAGAGACTGAATCTGCTGGCATCTTGATCATGGAATTCCCTGTCTCTGGAACTGTGAACAGTAAATGTCTGTTATTGATATACCAAGTCCAAGATATTTTGTTACAGCAGCCTGAGTGGACTCAGACACCCCCTCAGCTCTGGAACAAAACAGGATGTCCACTCTCACGTCTATTCAACACTGCACTGGAGCTCCTTGTCAGGACAACCAGATAAGAAAAAGGAAGAAAAGTTATTGAGATTAGAATGGAGAAAGTATCTCTATTTGCAGATTACATTATCTTGTATATAGT